CAATCTTGACCACTAAAGCATTGGTCATCTGACCTTGTAAACAACCCTAACCATTATCCTAACCCTAAGAAAAACTCTTAGAAGTTCTGTTAGAATCAAAATCCCTAAAAATAATGTATTGGCAAACTTACCAGAAATGCTGAATCCATGGCTTCACTTACGTTTTGCTTACAATTTGTAGCCATATCTATGATTTGGGGAGTCAAATCATTAGTGCTTCCCCTACTGATATTTGATTTGCAAACCAAAGCTAGAATTGTACAAAACTTTTGGGGGGAAGAAGATATTTGGGGAGCAGCAAAAGGGAATTCCTACTTTCAGCCACTAAGGAAGAACAGATGTATGGTACAAAAGAAGGGTATTTATTCTTTGGTCTGCACCTTTTTATGCCAAATTCTGAATCAACGCAATAACTTTAGAAAGCAGGAAATGAGAATTTAATTCTTTCTTCCTTACAGACAAGTGTCCTTGGTATTCATCCATTGTGCAAAAATTTGGTAGATGCAGCAGCCGGTGCTTCATCAGTTACCTGGAATACCTCCTATTGTTACAAAGGAATACTTGACAGTCAAATCAAGATCAAAGTAGCACTAGAAGACAAATTCATGAATGAATAGGTTTTTGGGAGAAAGAAGTATAGAGAGTGCAAAATAGTCTACATGCAAATGTCAACCATCTGTATTTAAGATGTACTTATTGTTGGAGCTGTTCATATCAGATTGGAAAGAGTTACAACTTTAATTTTTGTCCAGTGAATGAACCATTTTAACTGTTTTAAAAATAAATTTTAACCTAGAAGACTTTCCAGATTTAAAGTGTAAAATATATTGAGCAACATTTTGAATGAATTACATTAGTTAATTTGATGGCATGAACTTTTAAAATCTGGCAACAATGGAGACAATTCTATGCTTAAAGAGCAGATTATATATTAAATAATTCAAATTTAGGTCATTTAGGCCAACCTCCTGTTCAGTGCAGGGGTCAGTGCAGTGCAGGATCCATACTTAAGCATACTAGGCTCCACTTGAGGGCTGGAGGGATACAAAGGAATGAATGTTGATTTCAGAAAACTAGCGGTCTTGCTTTCAATCTGCATTGAGATCTTCTATTAATTCATTAATCCAGTTCAGTTAATTCACATGTTCCATGCTAAAAATTAATGTTCAGGAATTTCAATTTTGTTTCTAATTTTCCTCTGAGAATTCAGACATTAAGACATTTGATCTTTGTGTATGTATAACATGAATGTTAATATTATAGTTGTGCAGTCTTTGGACTCAAGAGAAAAGGATGCTTTGGACTCACATAACACTGGTTGGCAACTTCTCAAAACAACTGCATTTTTTCCCTGCGATTGGGTAACTGCCCTCTACAGCTGTAAAGCAATCCTGGGAAAATAAATGTTTGGTTTAAGGGTTGTTGACTTCCCCCCCCCCTCAAATCTAAAGCATAACACAGTCTAATTAATATCAACATTGTTGATAAAATCGCTTCAAATAGCATTGCAATGTGTGCTGTGTTATATTAAGTAAGTAGAAAGCGCCTTATGAAAGGTATGACTTTGCAAATATTACAATCCGTTACCAGCAGATAATAAACTATTAACTCATAATGTCTAAGCCTATGGGGCAGAAATACCAAATCATCTACAGCAGTGGTCCAGGAACTGGAGAGAAAAAGATTTTTCTGAGGACCAGAGGAGGTGTGGTTTTGCAGGCTGCCTGCATCCCGCGGATGGGGCTTTGCTTGTTTGTGCGGCCCAGTTTCTGGCATGCTGCGGCCACAGACTGGTATTAGGGACCCCTGATCTACAGTATATAGAAATATTCATTAAAATTAAGTATCAAAATTTCTATTTGGCTGAATTGGATGCCTCCTTTCAACATCTATGATGTCACTATTTCTGGTTTGAATTTAGTAAATCTTCCGCGATGAGCTTACCTGAATTGATCTCCTAAGTAGTTAATAAATGTTTGGTCTGGCTACTCGAATTTCCAGAAAAGGACTGTAATCTAGATTAGAAAATTGAAAGAAAATACAGAAGACAAAAACAAACATTTTCATAAACCAGCCAAGAAAGGGCAGTGTCAAAGGTGTCTATCATTAAGTCTACCTGAATGATAAATAAATTCTTGGAACTTCTCAACTTTGGGAAAAGTTTGTTTGTTTGTTTGATGATGTCTCAGTCAGCCTTCTGTGTTGTTTTTCTCCTAGCCTTATAGATTCACAGACTGTACTAATTGGAGTTCAAGCTTAACTTGAACCAAGCTTTTCAAGAATGCTGCTTGTTGTTTTTATTTGAGATGTTTTCAAAATATGTCTGTTATGAAATATTTTGTATGCAGAATAATTAATACTAGAAAGTCAGGAAGATAATTGTGGACATTTTTTTCCCTCTCCGTGATCTATAATTGGAACTGTACTACCTACAGCTCTCTACGAAATTCTGGGAAAGGATTCAGCAATTTTATCTCTCTCCATCAATACATAGCACACTTCAATTTCTGAAATGATGACAAATGACTTGAAATGTTGTGATGTATTGTTGGACTAAATAACATTTCTTCCTGCAGAACCTAATTAAATTTGGCCTGCAACAGAAACACAATTACATATGGAAACCATTTCTCAAAAGCATCTATTTCTTAAATACTTGGAATAAGAAATGGAATATAACATTACTTGCCAGTGATATAACTCATCCCCTAGACTGCGTTCTTGTAGAATAAAGCAAACTCTGGTTTACAACCACAAAAAATTATTAGCAGGTGCTTTAAAAGAAGGGGAAAAAATATTTTGTCAGATTTCTCCATTTTCATTATTTGCAAATACAGATACATAGGCACACATGCACACTATTAGTTCCCTATTTCAGTCATTTCAAATTTCATCAAAATAAAAATGATGATCTTAAAAAAATTTATGCAAAAGATACAGTTACATTACTTGTCCTTGTCCAAGCTAAAGTAGGAGTGGCTACGCAAGTCCAATTTCAGGAAATATGCATAATAAGAAGAAAAGAGTCAACACGGAAAGATGATTTAAAATATATTTATTATTAGGCACTTTAGATGGCTGGCAAGGTTTCAGTTTGTACACATAGCCATGCCTGCATTTACTAAGATTGTGAATAATGACATTTTTCCCCTTGTGCACTCTATGTGGACAACACATTTGGGAAGTACGAGGTTGTGGAAAGCTGGAAACATGTCTTTAAATGTTTTAGTGGTAGTTGAATTACGTATGATTAGGAGTTGAGTTTTACTTTATTTATCTTCCCTTCCGAATTATTTTCTCTGTTTCCTGATAGGTGTGTTTTCTAAACCTTCTATGAAGCCAGGCAAATAAACTTTCTACAACGACATAGGAAAGTTTATTTTCATGCATAGAATCTATATATTAATTTATACGAGATATCTAAATTGGACTTTTAATATGTACTAAATGTCTAAATGTGAATCAATTAAACATTGCACAATTTCAGCTGATTTTTGTACTGATTATAGATTTTGTTACTTATTTTTAGCTTAAGTTTAATAGTTATTTAGTCATGTTATACATCTTATCTTTATAACTATTTCTCATAATTAATAATATTTTAGAAAGCTGTAGCTTTCATGACATTTTAAGTTCCCTGTTTATTTATTGTATTACATTCTTTTCTCATTTTTATGTTTGATTTTGTATTTGTTTTTTTTTTTAAGTGTTCAATAAAGGAATAGGGAAAAGAGTTTATTTCTATTTACACAGCTTAGCAAATGTTCAGCAGTATCACATAATGGTATCAATCCAGGGGTTGCTTTTCTCTTTTTAGATAGTATGCTATGATTATTATTTGTTTTTTTTTAAATTGAGTCATGTTTGTAAACAAAAGATATAAATATCCACAAAAGATAAATATCCACAGATTGACTCAGAAAGAAAAAAAAGCAGGCATTACATAAAAAATTTTTTTTTAAAAAAAAAAATGCTGTTTGTTTCATGACTTCATAGTGGGAAAGGTTATTGCCTGGATTCTGCTTTTTTTTTATTATTTTTTTTACGGTAGAAAGTTGAATGGAAGTTTCTGTGAAGTGTGAAAACTTATTTAGGTTTATAAAAACTGTAAATGAAGACATACACCTCTCCCTAAAAGTACATAAAAACGGTGTTTTTGATCATCTATAAAGTAGGTAATTTCAGTACACCATGTCCTCACAAAGCAAAGATGAAAAGAAGAACTGTACTCAACTTTTTATGGAAAGAAATACTATAGCAAAAACATGGAATCTTGATCGTGTTGTTTGTACATGAATATGAAATCAGAACTTAATACAAATCTTTAAAATACCAAGTATTATAATAACTGCTGTACATGAAGAAGGCAGAATTATCCGCTTTGTTACACTATCCTTGGTTGTCTGATTTAGAAAACTGGGCATGTGCACATACACAACAGAGAAGTGGTGTGTGTTATGTGTATATGTATATGTATGTTAACTTGATTTTGCCACTAGTACGTATTTTTTTTGCTTGCCACCTTTCTTCTCTGATGTGAGTTAATGTAACTACATGGTTGCAGGATTGCAGTGGCTGATTGTAAGATATTCTGTCTTTTTTATAGTGTCAAAAAAATACTTTTTTCCCCCTTTCCTTAAATCCTCATCTTTTCATAGTTTTCAGGAACAGAAGAACTGCATGCTTAATTATGAGACTAATTTTTTTCTGGTTTGTGAGAAAAGAATGCTGGGTTGAATTTGGTTATTGCATATTTCTGGAAAGTTTGTTAGTTATTTTTGTAGACGGTTTTGGAATATTTTTGTTTATTAGTAATATATTGTCCTATAACCTCACTAGAATTGTTAGCTTGAAACAGCATAGATGTCTCAATAATAAATAAATACAAATATTATTTTTGTATATTTTCTTATATCTTCGTACCTAAATGTATTTGGTTGTCAAGGAAATACTTTCTCCTGCTAGATAATGAACTGATGATTCTCTCTACTTTTTCATAGTCTCCAGTTTATGTAGCAGAAGCCAGTCAAGATCTTGTACAGCAGATAAAGGAAAAACTTGAAAACAGCCCATGTAAAGAGCTGTTCTCACCCTGTGTAAAGTAAGTGCACTTTGGCATTCGAAGATCATTTTATTTTGTTGTTAATTTCCGTAAGACTTTTTTTTTGTAAATACGTTCTCATAAATAGGCTGTTCGTTATAATTTAACATTACGAATAAAAAAAGCAGTCCAGGCACAGATTCAGATAATTTTGAATGATTCATGTCCAGACCAAAAGTTTATCTGGATACTTGTGATATAGATAGTCTTCAACTTCAGACCACAATTGGAAACAGAATATCCATTGCTAAGCAAGGAGTTGTTAAGTGAGTCCTGCCCAATTTTACAATCTTTTTTGCCATGGTTGTTAAGTGAATCATTGCAGTTGTTAAGTGAATCATGCAGTCATTAAGAGAATTCAGTTCCCCCATTGATCTTGCTTGTCAGAAGAAGCTGAGAAGGTCACAAATGATGATCAAGGATGCTGGATCCATTGTAAATGCATGCCATTTGCCGAGTGCCTGAATTTTGTTTATGTGAGGCTGCAACAGTTATAAGTGCAAGAATTGATCATAAGTCAGAACAGAACAGAATAACAGAGTTGGCCAGGATCTTGGAGGTCTTCATTCCAACACTCTGCTTAAGCAGGAAACCCTATACAATTTCAGACAAAATAGTTGTCCAATCTCTTCTTAAAAACTTCCAGTGATGGAGTACCCATGACTTCTGGAAACAAGTCCTTCACTTTTTTCCCTGCTGGTATAACTTTGAATGGTCACTACTTACAAATGATTGTAAGTCAAGGACTGCCTGTATGTGTGTTCTAGTCAAAAGATATTCCAGGGTGGAATGTTGACAGTAAAACAGGAAGTGCACAGTGAATGAAAGCAGGTAAAAGAAAGGAAGGTGAAGACAGGAAGAGGCCAGACAGGCCTGGAGATGCCAGGCCCTAAGACAGGCATAGCAGTTGATCTGAATGAAGGTGCTGAATTGATTCCCTCCAGATTTTGTCTCAACTGGGAAACCATAATAACAAGACAGTCGGGGTTTCTGTTCAACTGAACTGCGACTTAGTCAGAACATTTTGACTGAACTTCCAAGTCATAATGCACTTCTTTTATGCACATAAGAAAACACATTTTCTGTTTTGTAGTCACTCCTTTTTAGTGCTTGTTTAATTTTTTTTATCATTAGGTTGTGGAATCCACATAGACAAAGAAACATTCAGATGTTTCAAAATGGCCTCCAGATCTAAGAGACCTGAAATAGGAGGAGTATTTTTGTAGTGTCATCCTTTTGTCCAAAGAAAGGCTTATCCGTTTCACAAAGTTAGGACTTTCTTTTTTATTGTACCCTAGAGTTCCATGTGTAAATATTTGTATCTAGAACGGCTGATGCTTTTGTAGTGCCATGCTATTTGCCGGGCCTTAAGAGAAGAAAATATCAAAAGAGAGAGATCATTAAAAGCACATTATTTCCAGCAGCTGTTTTTGTTGTTCATGGATGCTTTACAGAGGTATTTGTAAAATTTAGAAGCTTTCATACAAGTAATTATACTTCTGTCTTTTAATTTTACTATTCTCATTATGCTCTTTGATGGAAAAGAACTATATAATTATTCATGACCTTAGGAGCAATCTGATATTGCTTGGATTGTATCTTATATGTTAGGATAATGTATATTAAATGGATGGGCAGCCATAAGAAAAAATAGAACGGGATTAGATAAAAAAGAAATACATAAAATATTCTATAAAAAAGTAACACATTATTCCTAAAATATGCTCTTCTAATTCTTTTGAGTTAGTAGTTTTAAAACCAAGCATCCTGTCTGCAGAGAAACAGGGGTGCTTATCTAGATCTGGGAGCAAGCTTGTCAAATATTTCTTTCTTTTTCATCTGAAATAGGTCGGTTCATGAGTACCTAAGTGGAGAACCTTTTCAAGAATACTCAGAAAGCATGTATTTTGATAGATTTCTCCAATGGAAATGGCTAGAAAGGTAAGTGGCATAACAGTGGGTGTAGTGAAACTTTTTTAAATTGAAAGATATAATTAAAAAGATAAAACCAATAAAGCAAAAAAAGAAAAGAATGAAAAGAAAAATGCAAAGTGCAGAAATTTGAAAAAATAAGAATGTAATAAAGAAAAGGGAAAAGAAATGTGTAAAGAAATGGCTTCTCCCACCATCACAATAAGTATAAACCATTTTAGAAATTCATCATCAACAAATTATCTCTTTTTACCATATCACATCTTTTAACTATAAACAAATCTTAAAGTTTTGTTGTTCAATACCAATGAACAAAAGTCCAGTAAAAGTCCAAAAAACTGGTAAAATAAATAAACATTATTATTTTAACCTTGATCAAATAAGCCAACTTTATATTTTCAACTTTTAACAATCTTGATTTTTAGTCCTTTCAAAACATGTCCCAGAACTTGGTTTCTTTTCATTTTTTCTTTGTCCCTTCTCACAAAATTCTTCAAGACTATAACAAGTCTCTTTTGTAAATCTAATATAGGAAATTTATCCAGGTCATTTCTTTAGTTTGTTATTTGTATATCCCTTGCATTATAATTAGGTGGCTCTTTTCTACGTCCAGTGTAGCACCATTTTCTATATCATTCTTTTAACCTGTCATTCTTTTAATCTTTCAGATCATTCATAATCTTGTAGGTAAAACTGGTTTCTCTTTCATAAGATACTTTAAACACAGTCTATCTATAGAGGCCGACACTCTTAAAATTAACTTCTAGATTCATTGTTCATAAATATCCTTCAATATGTCCAATATTAAAATATTTGCTTCATTCTGTATTAGTAAGTCAAATTTAAACATTCCTCTCCATTAATTGTAATCATTAGTTCCTTCCAGTTCCCTCTAATATCTAACCTTCAATGTGTCATTGTATTTTTAAGAAAATTCTAAACAAAAGTGTTTTCCCATAGGAAAGAGTCTTATAATTAATTTCAAAATCTTATTTCAAATCCATCTGGATCCTTAGTAACTTTCCAAAATCAAAGTTCTAATGATTCCTTTGCTGTTTATTCCAAAAGAAAACACAATTAAATCCTTAAACATGTGTTTAGAACTTCTTTTGCTAAGAACAGAAGAAAATTTATCCAGTGCTGTAAAATAGGGTGATTTCTAAATAACTAAAAAACAATTTCCTAAAATGATTAGAAAAGAAAGTATGTGAACCCTTTTGAAGGCACTGACTGTTGTTTGAACAAAAAGTTGGCTATTCCAGAGCTTTAAACCTTCTCAAGGCCATTGTCTTATGGTCTCCTCACAAGGACCATCTATCTGGAGCATTTGTGCAATCTCAAGTCTTGTCCTTGTCTGGAGAGGAATTAAAAGAGCCGGTCTACTCGGTGGCTCTTCATTGTACTGTAACTGTCACTTTCAGTTTAACAGAATTATTTTCAGTTTGCCATTTCTTCCCCAGAACTCCAGTGCAGTACAGCCTTCATCTGTTATGGAACATGAAAAAGAATAAGCAGAAAATATTTTTAGTACAACCTTTCCCAATTTGCTGTCTTCCAGATTAAATTTTCTTAATCCATATTCAGACAGCTCAGTTGCCAGGTTGAATGAAATCAAGCAACTTGATCCAACATAATGAACAAAAGGTGACTAAGGAAGATGATAGATAGATAGATGATAGATAGATAGATAGATAGATAGATAGATAGATAGATAGATAGATAGCAAATAATATTTATTTCAATTAATATTAACCACAGGAAATCAGTAGCCAATGCAGTTCAAATGAATATAAGTTTATTGCATGTTAACACACTCTGCAAGAATCTGAACTACTAATGGTTAAAGCAAATTGGTAGTAGATAAGGGTCAACGGAATTCAAAGTGGGCTGGTCTTAGATCTCTTGTGAGCATGGAGGATCTTGAAATTTATGATGCACTTGACTCCCTCTCTCGGGTTTAGCCTGGTCATCTCCTGGAGAGATGTTGCCACTCCTCCTTGACATATCCTGTGGCCAGATGAGAAAATAGGAACATTTGGAATGGTTGAAAAGCAGCCATTTCCACAGCTAAATGATCTTTAACAAAGAATTTGTGGATTGTGCAAAATGAATGGTTATAAAATAGTCGCCCATATTTCACTTTTAGAAAAACAAGCAGTTAATTTGTTAAAAGGAGAGGAAAATTTGATTTTTTAAAAAAAAAAATAGTGCTAAGGATGGCAACTGCTTTAAAACTGAAGCTTAATAAAACGTATTAAAACATATTGTTTCCTTTTCCCAATTTTCTTTATTATTTCAGACAACCAGTAACAAAAAACACATTTAGGCAATACAGGGTATTAGGAAAAGGTGGCTTTGGAGAGGTAAGTAAATTTTCTTTTACACACTCTCTACTTGTAAGGGTAGCCAATTATTTTCTGCTGATAAATCTGATCAATTGAAGCATGAAATTGCATGATTTCATTCTTGCTGTATAAGAGTTCTTAAACTTGATTCATTGGGTGTGTGAGAAAAGGATAGATATGTTTTTTTCTCCAAGTTCTGTAATGAATTACAGGTAGTCCTCAACTTACGACCACAATGGAGCTCATAATTTGTGAGAAATTTGTCAGTTTTGCCCCATTTTTATGACTTTTCTGACCACACTTGTTAAGTGAATCCTTGCAGTTATTAAATTAGTAACGTGGTTGTTAAGTGGATCTGGTTTCCCAGATCCACTTCCCATTGACTTTGCTACTTTGCTTGTCAAAAGGTCTCAAAAGATGATCACATGACCCTGGGACACTGCAACCGTCATTACTGTGAGTCAGTTGTCACGTATCCGAATGTAAATCATGTCTGCAAAGGTCATAAGTGTGAAAAATGGTCATAAATCACTTTTTTCAGTGCCATTGTAATGTCGAATGGTCACTAAGCAAACTGTTGTAAGTTGAGGACTATCTGTGCTGATATAGTTTTTTGAATTCTGGTCTTAACTATTTGAAATGAAGATGGAATCTCTGTACATAGTGGCCATACAGTAGATGTAGTCACATTTTATCCTCCCAAGCATTGTGTGGGTTCCCCAAAGAGGTTTACCAAATTGAACATAAAATATTATTAAATGCACTAATACTGATGATATTAACTGTGTTTCATTATCATCAATACTATTGCAGCTTCCCAACTATTTTTTTGCCTTGGCCCTTCTCATGTTTAGAAATGTAGCACCCAATATTTAAATCAGGGATGTCAAACTCAGATCTGGCCCACTGGTGCCTAATCTGGTGCTTAGATTTGGCCCGCAGGGCCATCCTGGAAACAGTGAAGGACTTGCCCGGGGTGCCTCTGCCAGTGAAAACAGACTTCTGAGCTCTGCTTTTGGCTGCGACAGCCTTCTGCAACCCTCTGCCAGTGAAAACCGAGCTTGGGACGCACGCTTTCATTGGCAGAGTGCTTGGGCCACCACAACACGAATGACGTCAAGCTGGCCACGGCCACCCCAGCCCCCAGTGTCCAACACTGCCCCCAGTGTCCAACAATGTCAGCTGGCGACCCCCAGGGGGAGAGCCTTCTCTGTGGCGGTACCTGCCCTCTGGAACGACCTACCCCCAGAGATACGCACGATACTAGACCTCCGAACTTTTCATCGGGCTCTGAAAACACATCTATTTCATCTAGCCGGGCTGGCTTGATCCCATCCTTTCAGTTTTAATTTGTAATTGGTTTTAACGGGTTGTTTTAAATCGATGGCCAAAATTATTTAATGTCTTTTAAACTGTTTTTAAATTTTATATGTTATGTTTTACCGTGGCTGTTCACCACTCTGAGTCCTGTTGGAGAAGGGCGGTATACAAATTAAATAAATAAATAAATAAAAAATAAATAAACACAACCCTGATACGGCCCTCAATGAAATTGAGTTTGACACCCCTGATTTAAATCAATGACAAGCTATCTTCTGTGCAAACATCCCTTATTTACAGGGTATCCCAGGCTGAGATTGTCATATGTATTATTTCTCTAAATTAAGAATATGGAAAACCAGACCTGTTGCATTGGAAGACTTCCTTTCATCTTCCTACTAAATGTCTGTTTAGTCTCCAGTCAAAAGAACTTTGTTAAAATCAAGACAAAGTAGGGAAAATAGATTGATTTGGCTCTGTTAACTGATGATTTGTCCTGTATCTTTTTTTTCCTATTGTAACTTTCCTCTTTTCAGGTATGCGCCTGCCAAGTACGAGCAACTGGGAAAATGTATGCATGCAAAAGATTAGAGAAAAAAAGAATAAAGAAGAGGAAAGGTGAATCCATGGCCCTAAATGAAAAGCAGATTCTAGAAAAAGTCAATAGTCAGTTTGTAGTAAGTATTGCCAAATTTGTAATGGGTATCAACTCTCATTAATAAGTCGATCAGTGATGGGCACTTATATAAAAATGTATGCAGCTGTACTTCTTCCAGGCTGCATCGTGACTTAGATCAGGTTTCTGGTGCTAACTCTGTATGAGTTCTTCGGTTATTACTTTTGCAATCGCAGTGGGTTTTTATGTATCGTTCACTGGAATTTGACAGCACTGTGTGGTTCCAAAATAATTGTTTATGGAAAAAACGGTGCTGCAAACTGCTCACTCTACAATGGAATGCATACTCCTATTAGCTCTCTACAAGACCCTACCAGAGTCCAAAACTCTAGAATCTGCCAAGCCTCTTTTATTAGTTGTAGCTGCTGCTGCTGGTGCTGCTGGAAGAATGTGTAGTAATAAATAAGACAATACTTAATCTTGAATCAATACATTTCCTAACTTTTTCCTGAAGAATTAAATCTGTAGTATTGTGTGTAGTATCATCTTACACATCTTATGAAAATATCCGACTACGAATGAAGACAAATATATGTGTCCGAGGATGTTGCAGGATCCAATCTGGGTTGATCACCGGGACCAGATGTCTAGTATTCTGAGCTTTCGGGCTTGTGCTGGAACCCATTCTAAGAACTTCATTGAATTGAGTTTGATAATTAAAGAAAGAGAGGAATCAGAATATTTTAAGATATGGGGACAATTTTACCATTGGTTAGAGAAGAGATATATAAAGGGTAATGTTGCAATGAAACAATGGAAGAAGAAAGGAGAGAGTGAAGATAGATAAATGTATTAATAGTAAGCAAGAAGTATGGGGAGAATGTTATAATAAATGAATAATATGGGGAGAATGTTATAACAAATGAATGGAAAATATTAAGAAATGATGAAGATCGGAGGAGCAAGAAGAAGAAGAAGTCACAAAAGATGTACCTAGATGATACACTGAATGATTGATTATGTATTGTATGTTTGTCTGTTTATAAAATTTTTAAAAAGTTTTTTTTAAAAAAAGAACTTCATTGAGGATGGGCTCCAGCACGAGCCCAAAAGCTCATAAGGCTAAACCTCTGATCCTGGTGGGATTGGATCCTGCAATATCTGCCTATATTCTTGCCCTGTGGTCTTTTTTTTTTTTTTAATAGCCAGGATTCTATCCCATTTCTTCTTCCTTTTAACTGAACGATGTCATGTCTTTTCTAACACGAAATGCGAGCTATGAGTGAATTCTGGGCATGAATAATTTCTTGAACTATAACTGTTGTTTAACAATTCTCATTCCAGGTCAATCTAGCCTATGCCTATGAAACAAAGGACGCACTCTGCCTAGTTCTAACCATCATGAATGGGGGAGACTTGAAATTCCATATCTACAATATGGGAAACCCGGGCTTTGAAGAAGAAAGAGCTTTGTTTTATGCTGCAGAGATTCTTTGTGGCTTAGAAGACCTGCACAGGGAAAACACTGTGTACAGGTAAATTTTCTTTCATGCTTTCAGAAATTCTTTTTTTTTTACTTCTTTTTTTTATTTTTTAATATAATTTATTTATTTTATTTATTTATTTAATCTAATTTTTATACTGCCTTTGTCCCAAAGGACTCAGGGCGGTGCACAGCCAAAGATAAAACAAGTACCTATATAAAATTTAAAAACAATTTAAAAACATATTAAATAATTTGGCCCCGACATCATTAAAACAAAAACAACCCATTAAAATTAATGTTTAGGCCAACCCAGCTTGTTGGAACAATAATGTCTTGAGGGCACGGCGAAAGGTGCGCAAGTCAGGAATCATCCGTATCTCTGGGGGCAATTCATTCCAGAGGGCGAGTGCCCCCACAGAGAAGCCTCTCTCCCTGGGTGTCGCCAGTCGACATTGTTTGACCGATGGTACCCTGAGGAGTCCCTCTCTGTGGGAACGCACTGGCCGGTGGGAGGCTATCAGTAGCAGAAGGCGATCTCGTAAGTACCCAGGTCCTAAGCCATGGAGCGCTCTAAAGATGGTAACCAACACCTTGAATTGCACTCAGAAGACCACCGGGAGCCAGTGCAGCTCCCGCAGGAGTGGTGTTACATGGGAGCGCCGTGTAAACAGTGTGTCGTCCAGGTACAGATATCTTTATAAAATAATAATCAAAATTTACAACAATATTCATTACATTAACATTGATTCTATAATATTTAAATGATAATATTAAACATAATAATCATAATATTTGCTCTCTCTCTTAACATATCTTCTTTATTTCACTAACCTTTTTCTTTTGTTTCCCTGTTTCTAACTTCCATTTTTGTTTTCTAATCATTGATAAAATAATGAAATTCTTATTATCCTCATATAATATTTCCTGTTCCTATACGTAGGTATCAATATGTTTCTCATTACCTTTATTTTTTTAATACCCTTACAACAAAAGAGCAAAAAATGCAACATAGGTACCACATCCAAATTAATTGGAATTTATGATTAGGGTTTAAGTGGCAAACGGTTAAAATTCTCTCCCATCAAAAGGTGTGGCCTTGAGCCAACAGTTATTGCACAGTTTATCCTTACAAATCTAAATAAATTAATGGATGTTTCAAAAATATTCTAGATCAATCCTGAATCAAAAATGAACCGAAAAAAATAAGGTCATGATAAAAGAGAACTTTTCTTTTGCAAAAATGTTCAATTTCTCTGGAGGAAGAAATTATTTACAATTGAGTACTGGGTTACAGGAATTATAATAATATACGGTTATGAAAATCGTCTTACCAAGAAAAAAAATGATAATATTCCCATGACGCAGCTTTTATAAATAATGGTGGGGTAAAGATTGAATAACAATGTATGAAAATGATTTTTAACTATTTATATTGCAATTTAAAGTATGGGGAAAATTTTTTTTCCCTAATGGCAAGTGAGCTATGAAATAAAAAAAAGAGGAAAATCAATCCTATCTCCCAGACATTTTTTTTCTGCATCATTATATCTCTAATGATCATATGCTTAGATAAAATCTGCATAGTATTTTGCTGAGTCACTGTGTTTGAGGCACATAAGGAACGTTCATATTGGGATTGGAGTGTCTTCAATACCTGGCTGAGAAATTGGCTAGGACTCATTACCTCTGCCTTTATACTCGAGAAATTGTGTTTCATTTGGAACCTGAAACAAATATATTTTGGCTTAAAAATTCAGACAAACCATTCCAGAATATTTTGCTTGTTCCAGGTTTTGGCCATAAACAAATTCCAGAGGGGTCTTATGGGGTGAGTAGAGCAAGGATGATACACCATCCTTCTCTCCCTTCCTCTGCCCCGTGGCCTGGGCACTGGCCCATTTACCAATTTTCCCAACAGTTTTATCCCTGTCTTCCCTTAGCCACCATCTTGAATTCAAGTGGATTTCTGCCTCTCAACCTCTCTGGGTCAAAGAGATGCTACAGTCCACTTGGACCACATAACTCCCCTCTCTTTCCTTTCCTCCTGCTCCTCCTTCTAAGCTAGAAGGCTTTATGGCCGCTTATCTTCTTTTCTTGGACATAAGTGGAAATAGGGAAGGAGGGGTACTAGGACAATGTGGAGAAGGGTGGGCTGTATTTGAATTTTTGCATGGTGGTAGACCACCTAATGGTCCTCAAATTTTTACAGTGCCTTTCTTTCCCGGCCCTCTGTAGTTATAACCCACCATGGTTGCCCTTGAATTCAAGTATTTTCCAGCCTGCCTAATTTCTTCTCTGCGATCTTCTAGTTGCCTTTGTTTGTCTATCCCTAACTCACAGCTGCTGATAGCCTTGCTTTTTTCCCACTTTCCCCATCCCACAACAGTTTTGCTTGGATCAGTCACAGACCAGTCATGTCTTGACACCTATTCTGGATCTATATTCAGACAAAACATGCATGGCCTTTGTTCTTGACATAAGCTACCCAAAAGTGACCGTTCCATACATAAAATGCTCATTTCAGATATTATCAAGTGACAAGCAATTGTTCCTGCTTCTTTATTTATTTATTTAATGCAGGAGAGTTTGTTATTCACATCCTGCAAAATACTAACACCATAAAGATTGTAATGTAAATAACCTTAACAGTTTCTGATAACATCTGCAATTCTGCAAAATTGTCTCTGTGCTTTATTCTTCATAGTTCTTTCTATCTCCATGTGATTTCCAATGTCTGAATATTGAGCCCAAGTGCTAAATACCGTTTTGATTAGGAACCTATTAAAGGTGCTTTTAAAGATAAATAAAACAAAGAGGCAAAGATCTGAAGCATCCAAAGATCTAATAACCCTGCTTGAAATTAAGGGATTAATTATTTTGCCTTTTCATAAGAATAACTGACTATGAAAGTAATTATTCATTTAAAAGAGAAAGTTTATGGCATTCATTAGGTCACCCAAATGCAAGAATTGCTAAAAACCACTGTGCTGTGGTGTTGTTGTTGTTGTTTTTAAATGGTAATGTTTTTGGCAATGCTGATTTATATATACCGGTATTTATATCTGAACTGACAAAAGTACTCCTAAGGTGATTTTACCACCTCACCTTTACCCAGGAAAAATTTACTTAAATAAAATAATGCAAGTGAGTGTGTTAAATAAGATAGTACACCTTCACAAATAAGATAATAAGATTGTTTAAATACAATTCAAGTTGACCATCAGACCAATTTGTGATAGGAAGGGTCCTGAAACTCTCCTTTTCAGTATTTTAAATTGTTCTCAGAAATGATTTAAGCTTTGTCATTACTTGGAAGAAAATTTAATTATTTTTCCTCTATTAATCACTGGGGAACTTTTATTTGTTCAAAATATATTATGTGCACTATTTGTTATTATAAGCAAAGGCACATGAACTAAGAACATTTTGGTTCTCTTCTTTTTGTTAGTTTAAATTCCTATTGACCTCACAAGATAAACTTCACAAGATAAACCAGTGCTAACAAGCCTCCTTTTTAAACAAATAATACTGAGAAAATATGTGACGGGAATGAGGATGTAAAATGGATGGCTTTATTTTAAATACCACCAAAGGCTTATTCTTGGTGTTTAACAAAAAGGCACATGTTGGATTAATGTGATAAAACACTATTCTCAATGTACTTTTTCATCCTAATTTTAAACACTTCCTTAAAGAGCTAGAGGTCTTAATCCATTGCTTTTCCCACTTTGGCTGTAGATATTTAACATTGGAGTAGTCATTTCAGGCATTGGATTCTGAAGAAAGGATCCAAGGAAGGAAAAAAGAAATATTTGCAACTCCACAAAATGTAAAAGCTCTGCTTTTTGAAATATCTGTCCATTCACAAGACCGCATATATCCATATCAGCTTAGAATCTTGCAGAAGACATACTATATCTGTGCAGTCTTTTTTTTTTAATAGACTATAACTTGTATCTGAATTCATTCATGATGGACAGAGAAAGAGTAACCTGAAGATAGCTCCTTTCAAGAGAACAATCATCCTATATTTCTGAAACAGAAATAGTTAATAGTTTCTATTGCAATTTCTCAGTTGCAGAGAAATTGAGACATGGTTTTCATATCATAAACAAATCTACAGGGTTTCTCAACCTTGGCAACTTTAACTCCCAGAATTCCTCCAGCCAACTACATGAATTGAAGTCCAGACATCTTAAATTTGCTAAGATTGAGAAATGCTGTTCTGACGGCTGCCACAATGGCTAGCTAGAGAACACATACAAAATACTCCTCATTGGTCACATCCAGCTGAAGTGAATGGCCTGAGATTGTGGTAGGCTGTGATTTTCATGTTGCTGCAAAACCCTGTTTTTTAATTGACTTTCGGAATTATTTTGATGGGTAAACCGACACCCTACTGCCCAAATGGTTGGAAAGTACTTGCAATTTCCATTTTATCAAAGCAATTTCCAAAGAAATAACAGCAGTGGTTTTTTTTCTTTTTTTTTTCAGGGATTTGAAGCCAGAAAATATCCTGTTAGATGATTATGGTAAGTCTAAGAGCTTTAGGTAAAACATTTTTGTCTACAGTAAAATGGCTTATATATAGCTGTCTGTACACAGCCAAATCATTCTCTGAAGTGGATAAGAGGCTAATAAACAACATTTAACTTTGGATAGAGAAAAAAATGGCACTTTTGCCAAAAAAGAGAGAGAGCTGAGGAAAAGAAGAGCATTTTAAATTAATAGTAACTATGTTAAAAAAGATTTATACAAATCTTGTATTTTCTCTTATCCAACAATGAGGGTGACCAAATGTGTGTGTCATTTCTCTGAAGATGGGCTTTGTACTTCTTGGCCTTATACCTATAACAAACCAACATTGCTTCCTGGGTAAACAATAGGACTCGTGCCTTTGACCAATTAATATTAATACCAGTCTAAACAATGAGAAATAATATGTGGGTATTATACTGAATATGCTGGGCTTCGAATATGAAATATGGGTTGCCTATTTTTTTTTATTTCAAATGCTCCTCAGAGTTAACACTCACCCCCAACTCAATTACATTGAATTATTTGTTCTATTTATATCCATACAGATTAATCCATCAGCTCAGCAACTTTCTGAATTGAATAGAGTCATGAACGGCAAAATATATAGCCTTTATTTGAATTACAGCTAGTTTGAAACTCATAAATATTATCACTCTGTTAGTCCTTCATGCAAGGCAACCTTCTCCTTGTCGCAGAAGTGATCTGATCTCAGTGGAGAAGCGCAAGACTCCTGGTCTAATCCCCAGTTAAGAGACCTGTAAAACAGGGATGGATATATAACCAACAGATCTGAACCTTTTTTCCTTCCCCCTTCATGGTCCCCACAGTCTCCTCTGACTGTGATTGCTGAAAATTGGTGGTATAGTCTCCTCTGATTTTGAAACAGGTTTACAAGAAGCTAATAATGTTAACTTACTTTCATGTTACTAGCCATAATGTACTTTCAAAAAAACAAAAATCCACCTTTTTCAAGTTTTCTTTTTTGAAAGCCAGGTGGAAAAATTGTATAATCCTATCCCTGCTCATATGTGTGACATACTGTATCACCCTCAGCTTTGGATTTTGTCCCTTTCATAGTGGCCAAATTTGCTTAAATACAATCTGTAGCCATCAAAAGTTTGCCCATCTCTGCAGGAACAGGTAACGTATGAGGCCTGGAAAGTCCGTTAGTCCAAGTAAACAAAACAACCAGAAGTGGAAAACAGTCTGATGAAATAACACTTGGCCAAAGTATTCAATTGATTATCATTTTTTGCTGTGGAGAACAGCAGGTGTTGGAAGGATGAAAACATAATGAAAATCCTCATTGTAATTTGAATTGGTTAGTTGTGTGTTCTATGGGGCAAACCTTAATGGATTATTAGAAAATAGTCCCTAAAATAGTCAAGCAATGCAAGCAACCATATTTTAAATATGCTTAGATTCCTTTCACCAAACAAGGAATTACATTAGATGTTATAAATGATTCCTAATAACTGCACTATTTTCCCAGCTAGGATTCCAGGGGTTTTTCCCTTCTCATTGAAAGGAACAAAATAACATAAAATCTTGATCGCACTTCCAATGCAGTTTAGTTTTTCAGCCAAGTTTTGCTTTTCTGGGATGGAAATCTTCTGGCATGGCATCCTTTCAAGGGAATTTTGAAGAAATTAAACGCATTAAAAAGGGTTTTTTTAATGTTTACTGCATATCAAGATTAACATTCCTTAAATTCTCCCTACTATCTAAGACCATCTCATGTTCAAGCTTGTACTTTTATTTGAAAGCAGAGGGACATTTGGCCTGCCCTAATATCAAGCAGCTTCCTTGATCAATTTTTCAGATGAGTTCCTCCAAAGAACTGGTATTATTTTCTCCTCTGCAATGGTTAGATTTGTTTTGACAATGTATTTAATAGTAAAATAATTGTTTTCTACAGATTCATGCCTATGCTAAAAAAAATTTCACCTCCACTTTAGGCCACATCAGAATATCTGATTTGGGACTAGCTGTTAAAATTCCTGAGGGTGACTCCATCCGTGGACGAGTAGGAACAGTTGGTTATATGGGTGAGTGGTCTGAAATAGTCTGTTGTTTTCAACTTTGAAGACTATTATTTCAACTTTGTAATGTAAAAGAAAAAACAAACTCTTATCATGCATGATAAGCAGTCACAATTCAGCATGACTGAACAGATGGCTGAATCTCTGATATGTAGGATCACTTGACCAAGTCACAATTCTCTGTATGTCCTCCCCTAACTGCTTGAGTGCAAAGACAGCATCCCCCAGATTGGGTTTATGTAACACTCAGCATTGGTAAAAGTTAAAAATATATTTATTTAATAAGAACAGTGCATGAAACAAGGAATTGTGAGGATTGTTAGTAAACATGGCATCCATGAATGGCCTGGGGAAGAACAAGATAGCACTCATCTAATGAACCATTTGAATATTATCCAGCATTTAGACCTTATGAGCTATCAGTGTCAGCAACCCCATTGTTTTAAAGTTATGTCCTAGATACTTTTATGACTTAATTCCTCCCCACTTCACCACCACCCCTAATAGCTATAGTTGTCCATTTATATTTCATACCAAACTCCGTATTGCGGTTGAATGCAGAAGAAAACATTTAATATAGGAATTGTTCTGAAAAATTTTAAGTAGGGTTTTTTTCATGTTTGATAGTTTTCATTTCTCTAAGATGAAGGACATGTTAAATAGAGTCCATAGAACTCCTAGCATGTATTATGTATTTGTAAATCTTAGTAAATATTAAACCTCATGCTTCAGAGTATTTAAAAAGAAAAAAAAGGAAATGAGATTATTGCAAATAAATGGCACTAAGATTTTCAACTTAAATCAGAGATGGGCATGTGAGATTGTTAGGTCTTGTCCACTCTTAGCACCACTTTTACAGTCCCTTTAAGCCCCTTCCCACTACACTACCAAACACTGGGGATGCAGTTGCTTGCCGTTATGAGGTAGGCAATACAAAATTGTCATGATCACCGGAAGACATGATATGATTTAAGCAAATTAGTAAAATTCACATCATTCACATAATAACATTATGGCATGTGTGAAATCATTGTGGCTTGTACCAGACTCCATGTGTAAGAAAAGTAATTTCATATCACATATAGTAATGTCAGTGGTGAAATCCGAACCGGTTTGCTACTGGTTTGCTGGCCACGCATGTGCGCCACGCGCAAACATGCACTGCATGTGCATGCGCAGTACATACCAAAAGGACACTTGGGAAGGTAAGTAGAAGCAAGGGGGGGATCAGCTGTGGCACGCGACTTAGCTTCGCTAGAAAGCAGGATTTCCTGCTTTCTAGCAAAGCTAAACCCTGCGCCACAGCTGATCATCAGAAATACCAGTTCGGAAGAAATGATAACTTTTTTTAACTACTGGTTCTTCCGAACCTATAGTTTTTATCACTATCGGTTCGCTCAAACCAGAGCGAACAGGTAGCATTTCACCCGTGAGTAATGTGACTTGTGTGATAAAGAAAACTAATTAAATATAGACTGTTGTTATGGGTAAGCTTATATGATACCCATATCCTTTACAGATCCTTGAAAAGATCCATTCTGATATTTTTTGACGGGACAAAGCAAAGTAGTTGGAATGATGCAGATTACCACCTGACAGATATCCTTGTGTATTGCACAGTATAGATCAGAGGTCTTCAAACTTGGCAGCTTTAAGACTTGTGGACTTCAACTCCCAGAATTCTCCAGCCAGCTATGCTGGTTGAAGTCCACAAGTCTTAAAGCTGCCAAGTTTGAAGACCTCTGGTATAGATGATCACAGGGTAAACAGTGGTCTCAATTCCTATTTAAATCCTGGAAATACGTATTTGAACTACCATGGAGAGTAATTGTTTCCAACTATAAGGAAGTGACCCTACATAAATGGCTTAATTTTATTATTATAATTACCTGTGAAACAAGTTCCACTAAGCTTCTCTCTTAGTATCAAATTGATCCTTGGCCAGACTAAATGGAATCTCTTATTTCATTCTTGCCTTGATAGTCATGCTTACGTCAATAAAGCCATAGAGAACTTTTTTCCATTGTCTCTTTTCTTTTTTCCCAGCTCCAGAAGTCTTGAATAACCAGCGATATACCCTTAGCCCTGATTACTGGGGATTAGGCTGCTTAATCTATGAAATGATTGCAGGACAGTCACCCTTTCGAGGAAGGAAAGAGAAGGTGAAGCGGGAAGAAGTAGACAGGAGAGTCTTGGAGATGGAAGAGGTGTATTCCCATAAATTCTCTGAAGAGGCAAAGTCTATCTGCAAAATGGTAAGGAGGTCACTTGGTGTGAAAATCAATTAGTAGATTGTAATGATCAGATAATTATGAGATAATGATTAAGACTACTTGTGGAAAAGTTTTTCAAACCTGGGGTCATACAGATGTATTGGCCTTTAACCCGCCATAGCCCTTGAGTAGGAATTATAAAATCTGAAGTCCACTGCATATGAAGTGACACTGTTGAGGTAGTAGGTCCTTTGCTGATCAAGGCCCTGGCAAATATTAAATTTTGCTACCTTCTAGAACTAGCCTTAGTTTACACAAGTTTCTTTCCCAGTGTTTCGTTTATTAAAATAGTGAAAGCTGTCAATGACTTTTGTTTACCTTTCCATGAGATGTGTTCCCCCTTCTGTAAAACGCACATTTTGAAATGTTTCTCACTACAACTACTTCCTTGCCTTCATGAATTCTAAATGATTGAAATTATACCAAGCCAGACTGCTGATCTAGCTCAGTGCTATCTACAGTGTTTTCTCAAATTCCCACTCAAAGCAAGCTGCCTTCATTTCTTGGGATCCATTTGCTGGGACTCTCCTTTGACAGACCTTATTTGTGTAGCCACAGTCCCAGATCACTTCTGAGCTCCACTTGCTAGGCTTGTGTTATTCTTGACCAAGGATAGATTGCAATAGGTTCCTTTCTTGGTGCATTGTACCATACACATAGACGTAGACATAGAATTCTTTATTGGCCAAGTGGACACCCAAGGAATTTGTCTTTGGTGCATATGCTCTCAGTGTACATAAAGGACAAGATACATTCATCAAGAATCATAAGGTACAACACTTAATGATAGTCATAGGTACAAATAAGCAATCAGGAAACAATATCAATATAAATCATAAGGATACAAGCCAACAAAGTTACAGTCATGCAGTCATAGTGGGAGGAGATGGGTGATAGGAACGGTGAGAAGACTAATAGTAATAGTAATGCAGCCTTAGTGAATAGTTTGACAATATTGAGGGAATTATTTGTTAGCAGAGTTCGGGAAAAACTGTTCTTGTGTCTAGTTGTCTTGGTGTGCAATGCTATATAGCGACGTTTTGAGGGTAGGAGTTGAAACCATTTATGTCCAGGATGTGAGGGGTCTGTAGATATTTTCACAGCCCTCTTTTTGACTCGTGCAGAATATAGATCCTCAATGGAAGGCAGGTTGGTAGTTATTGTTTTTCTGCAGTTCTAATTATTAAACATTGGTCAGTTGCTGTGACAAACTTGAACTAAACTGGGACATCCTATTGGATTCTGGAGTAAACCTGCATACTCTGAATGCAACCCATGCTCAGCATCAATTCTTGGAGAAGAAGAAAATCTAATGTTGGAAGACTGGGCTGAGTACTAGAATATGGAAGTCCAGGCACAGCACCACATCCATCATGGAGAAGTTGAAAGAAGAATAAGGGGGAAAGGTGGGGCTAGGCAAAAGTGTATTGATCTTGGATAGATGATCTTGGAAGGTACTCAGGAATAGGTTGAAGCTATGATAGGAACTACTGCTGAGAGCACAAAAGCCATTGAAGGCAAATCCTGATCTTTGGATTGAGTTGTGTCAGATATCGAATTTTGAATATACAAAATTTTAACACAGAAATTACAGTTCCAAACTACAGTTTGTCCAAGGAAAACAGGAGCCCTGTCCTACTCAGAGACCCTGTTCAAGGGTTTTCTGACAGAATTTTTCATAGGTAGATATACATTCTGAGGTTATGGTTATGAAGTTTGAGAAGCCCTACACAGTATCTCTTTTTTTTAAATTTGATTTATATGCCGCCCTTCTCGGCTTACATTGCGCTAAGCAATAGCCTTCATTCTTTTGTATATTTATACAAAGTCAGCTTATTGCCCCCACAACTGGGTCCTCAATTTACCTACCTTAGAAAGGATGGAAGGCTGAGTCAACCTTGAGCCTTGGCGAGATTTGAACCTGCAGTAATTGCAGGCAGCTGGTATTAATAACCAGCTTAATAACAGGGTGCCTTAGACCACTGTACTACCAAGGCTCTTTTTAGTAAAGATACAGTTTACCTTGCCCTTATTTCAGAAGTTGGGGAAAATTACAATCTACCATTTTTTCATGCCTTAAGCCAGTTGCATAGGGTAGTCCAGTAGGCAGATATTTTACATCCATGTTTTTCTGGTTATGAAACCTCCTGTTGTGAATTGCTATATAATAAGTCTAACATGACTCATTATTTGTTCTTGGGAGTTTACTGTCATTGTATAATGTTTTTTTTTTTAACTTTTTATAAGTTTGCTGAGAGAAAATTTTTATTTCAAAATTAGATTTCATCCTGGTCAACATTTAACTCAGTTATCCTGCACAGGAATTCAGTATCAGTGTAGAGTATCGATTGCAATTTTGGACTGGGCCTGTGGAGACCCAGATGGAACTCCCTGGTTCCACCAGGGAGTGAACCGTATAGCTCACAGGGTTGCGGCAGGGTTAAAGTGCAAAGAGTCTGTGATCTCCTTGAAAGGTAGGGATAAAAATGAAATAAATTAAAAGGGATCTTTCCACAGGGCCCTCTCCACTAATTTCACCAATGAAAGGCTTCATTTTTTAGGCCAGTGATGAGCATGTTGGGGTGAAAAAAACTGAATCAAAGGAGTTTCCTAAGCTTTTTTGATTCTTACTACCATCCAGTCCAGAAACATAAATTTCCGGTGCTGCCATCTTCCGAATGGTGTTGTGTTCCAGTAAAACACAGTTCAGCAACACCCTCTGAAATGACCGTGACTTGAAACTGTGGGTGCCTTGATGCCAACACTGACACATGCAGGAAAATCTTAGAGGTTTGTTCCATTTGCCGTGTGTCATCCGCCCATGCCTGCTTTTAAGTACTGAATGCATTCACAGTTGGATCCAAGCACAACCAGATCCAAGTTCTAGAAACAAGGCTCACTGTTGAAAAATTCCTGTGATGTTTCCTAACGTCAGTAAACGGTGTTTGTAAACTAAATGCTTCAGTAATATGCTGTGCCGGGGATACTGTAATTAGTGTTCCCTTTTCATTTAGATTTGTCCAGCCTTGGGAACATTTTAGCTGGAGAATTTTCCAGAATCATTTGCCAAATCTTGGCTGGAGTGTGAATGCATGTACCTGCTTCTGTTCCTTCAAACTGAAGAATGCTTATAAAAACAATCTGGTTAAGCAATTGAAGGAAACCAACTGCAGTTAACTTTCTATTACATGTGTTTTCTGAGGCCTAATTACATAAATTCATTATTTTAATGATTTCTAAATTGCAAGCTTATACAAATATTTCGTGTTTATGAAATTGTTAACTTTTCTATTGCTGCCCTCTAATGGACAAAGGGTGAATATCCTCTGGAAAAATCTTTCAATCTGTTTTCCTCGTCATTTTTATAATCAATGAAGTTAACAGTCTAACCACACATGTTTGCTCAGAAGAGAGTCCGGTTGAGTTCAATCATCTTTTCCTTAGTTTATTTTTGTTACTGAATGAAGCTTGACATTACTAGCCCATAATCATTGAGCTACCTTAGTTTCTAATATTCCTCAGTGAAATTCCTTTAGCATTTCCTCTCCCCACCCCATCAAGTAATAAGACTGAAATAAAAACCAGTAAAATAGTATATACTTGGCAGAATATTATAATGTAACGCAGCTCCAGGATTAATGATGATATTTGTTGAATGCTAGAATAATTTTATATCTTAGTTACTGTAGCTGCCAAATGAGTGAGGTAATAATGAGGCTTTCAAGTTCTACTACAGGTACTAGTAGAACTACTCAACTTACAACTATCAATTGAGCCCAAAATTTCTGTTGTTAAATGAGACATTTGTTAAGTGAGTTTTGCCCCATTTTATAACTTTTCTTGCCACAATTGTTAAGTGAATCAGGCTTCCCCATTGACTGCTTGTCAGAAGGTCGCAAAACCTGACCTTGGGACACAGCAATGGTCATAAATATGAATCAATTGCCAAGTATCTGAATTTTGAACACATGATCGTAGGGATGCTGTAATGGTCGTAAGTGTGAAAAATGGCCAGAAGTCACTTTTTTCAGTGTTGTTTTAACTTTGAACAGTCACTAAACAAACTGTTGTAAATCAAGGACTACCTGTATTCATGAGTATTATATATGATTTCTATCTTCACATCAGGGGTGGGTTCTAAATATTTTTACTACTGGTTCTGTGGGCATGGCTTATTTTGTGGGAGTGGCTTGGTGGGGGTAATGTGACTGGGTGGGCGTGGCCAGCTTTTTTTTTTTTTTTACTTTTAAAAGCATTTTTTCAGCCGAAGAGGTTGTAGAAAAAATGCTTTTAAAAGTTTTTTTTTAAAAAAGCCTCTGATGAGGTGGGCGGGGTAAGCGAGCAGCGACCGGGCCGGGGACCGGTTTGGGGGCATGGCCAGCCAATGTTATTACCGGTTCTCGGAACTACTACAAATTTTTACTACCAGTTCTTGCGAACCGGTGCAAACCGGGAGCAACCCACCACTACTTCACATTACCTATTTAAATGATAACCTTTCTTTTGCAAAACGATTTCTATTTCTACTTAAAAGTTGAAACTGCACTTCAGCCAACTAAACATCATCCCTCTAAGCTCACTGTGTTAATCCATCCTGAAGGATGAAGCATCTTGTTGATCAATGGAGCTTATTCCTAGCTAACAATTATTCATGGAGTTTAATCTTCTGATCTTAATAAATTGGATTCTGTCATAGGGCAGTGCTTACTTTGAAAATTATTAGGAAAAATTTTGGACCTCGCATAAGCGTTGTATCTCTAAAACACCTAATATTTTTGCCAGCCAGCCAGCCAGGCAAAAAAAAAAAAAAAAGGTGAATAAAGGGATATGACTCTTTAAAGCAGCAACATATTTTGTTCAGGATTGCACAGAAGCATGTATAATGAGTGGTTTTAAGGAATATTGGAAGGCATTTTATTTAGATGAGGTTTGAACACTTCAACCAAAACATGCCCAGTCATGCTAGACAATGTGGCTCTTTAAAAATTGGGGGAGGGGCGTGTTATGTTTATTTTATTATTAAATTTACATGCTGCACATCCCGCTATCCAAATCCTTAATGAACTCTGGAATTTTGTGCTCTGCGGATCCAAGCCTCAAAGCTCTTGAAGATGCTGTCTCTTTGCCGCCATCTAGTGGGCTTCAAGAGGTTTGCAGGCTGGATCTGCTAAATCTAAATCTAGTAGTGTCCAGAACTTCATGTGTGATTATTGGTAAAGATATATGACAGAAAATAATTGGCATTCACCTGCCAAAGCATTCACAAGTAAATCTATTTATCATTCATTCATTTGTTGATTTTTAAGCTACTATTTCTCTTCATATATACCATCGTCCTTGAATTTTCCCCATCAGAATAATCCTGTGAAGTAACTTGGGCTGATTGATTAACCCTAAGTAATCTTTCCAGTTGAGGTGGGACTTGAATCTACTCCCAATCTATTTAATTTTCACCACCAGTTTATTCTGGCTCTCAATAACTCTGGAGTAAGAGATAAAATGTTGGAAAACTTTAGGAACTCTTAATAATTCATCAGACATAATTCTATAAACCATGGTTAAATTCAATAAATTAATCTTGCTTTTGAGGCTTGAAACTAGTATAAGGAACTCAGTATGTGTTTAAATCTGTAACACATTTTACCAACAGTTTGCAGATCAAATCATATTGAGTAATGCAGGGAAAAGTCTCTGCTGGAATTTCTTGAAGGTCATTGACAATATGAGATTAGGCATACGCAGATAGGATTATGATAACTAAATAAAATAAATAAGCCAGTCAGTTAGAGTTAAAATAGAGAAGTGATATGACTAATTTTATAAAACATTGATAAGATGATTAAATATATTCAGTAAATATAAGTCCAACTTTTTAAAACACGTATGTGAAAGTAAGAATTAATTGTTGCATTTTAGCTCCAGCAAATAAGGATAATGAAATGAAAAACCTGGGAAAATTTTTGAGAAAAGTTACACAAATTTGTGCAATTTTCCCTCAAAATTCTTTTGTGCTTTATCACACTTAGCTGATTACGGAAGTCTAAAGAAAAATCATTCTGCTGGGACACATGAATAGATAACTGGGAATGAAATAAGAGTGCAGAAAAAGTGATTGGGCTATTCAGAGGCTTGAAAATGTAAAGGTTTCATGAATTATTTGCCTAAAAGAAATCTGTATATTTCAAAGTTTGGTTTTGGCTTAAGACATTAATGGATGCACATGAAAAAAGACAAGTGAAAAATTGGGGATGGGGGTGATGAAATTGAAGAAAGAGAAAATGCTAGAAGAACTATTTCAGACGCTGGTACAGAAATGAATAGTGAATAAATAAATGTTAGTGTCCAAGAACAAAATGCTGAAAAAGAAATCATAAAGCTTTAAAAACAAATATAGATGATGTAATAGCAGAAATATGGTTATGGTTGCCAATGAAGTACAGTGTGATTTATTTAGCACCTGTGTAAAGATTTCATCTGCGTCTGACAAGTGAAAGAACACATTATGACTCCCTTATACAAAATGAAAGGTAACAAGACTAGATGCAAAAAAAATCAGAGGATAAATTTGTTCAGTTTACCCAGAGGGGTGCTTGTTAGAATTCTGATTAAATTGATGCCAGAAGTAGCACGAAATTATCAAACAAAATTTGATAAGTACAAGTGCATAGTATGTACTTTTTTCCTGAAGGTCACTTAGAAATGTAAGAATGTGAGAAATTAAGTCCAGCATGATAAAATGGAAAGGCTTGAATAATGGAACTTTTTGCAAATATAGAAAGTTGCCAATTGTGATAAAAGCAGTATATGATGGAAGTATTAGATGAAAATTAGCAGAATGCTTTGTGAATGGTTCAACACTTAGGCAAGGATATTGCCTTGGTTCTTTAATATATTCATAGATACATTGTACAAAGAATATTTATTGTAACACTATATATAGTGTATGTTACAGCATGAATTAATATTCAAGGCTAGACAAGATAATAGTGTCAGCCAGCAGTGTCTACTGGGGGTTGGGGGTGGAATGGGAGTCAAACTGAAGAAAGTATCACCACAATATTGTGATACAAGCACACACCTTTTCTACATGTGTCTCAACATTGTATACCTGCTCCAAAAGGACAGGGACTCTGACATGACATTTTAACACTGCTTTCAATATTATAATCAAAAGGTTTTTTAAATGTTATTGCAATTTTTAAAAGAGCAGTACTGGGGGGGAAACTATAAGAAATAAAGTACACTAGAATAAACAATAATATCAAATTAATTAATTATGAATTGTAATACCATCACAGATCCCCTAACAATAACCTTAATTGGACTTGGAGAATGCAGCTTAGTATAACTATTGTCTGCATAATATCTAATCAGAACCCACCAGGAGTTACTCAACAGGACTCACCAGGAGTGGCCTCATTACAAAGATGACCCACAAAGCGATTTGCTTACACACATATAACCTACGAAAAAGTAAGAAAATAGATATTGTACCTTTACAGGGAGGATACATGAGATGTGGGTGTGGCTTACTGATAATGGCTAACAAGCCAGAAATAGATCTATATAGGTCTCTCACTGAGCAGCATAGGGCAGCACAGGGCCTGCTGGCTGCCAGAAAGAAAAAAGCCCAGAATCGAATGGATGTGACTCCACTGAGCTAGGGCTGTAGAAAAATCTTGGCTACATAGGAAAAACCTGGCTAAAAGAAAGAAATATATATATATTTATATATACACACATACATATATATATATATGTGTGTGTGTGTGTGTGTATGTATGTGTGTATGTGTGTATATATATATCTTATTATATGGCGCTGGACTGCCACATATTTGTGTTTATTTTTTTATTAAAGTACGAATGGTAAATTATTTTTTATAAGTACTATTCCCATATAGGGGATAGTGATAAGGATATAGAGGAAAATGTTTGGGTTTCTCTACATGCAATAGGGTTCAACAAATATTTTCTGATAATTGTCTTGCCATCTTTTCAGCTACTGAACAAAGATGTGAAACAGAGGCTGGGATGTCAGGACGGTGCAACTGAAGTAAAGAGCCACCCATTTTTCAAGAGCATGGATTTCAAACGTCTCCAAGCAGGAATGCTGGAGCCCCCTTTCGTCCCTGATGTAAGTGAGGCTTAAAAAAGAATTACAGAGCTGAAGTAGAATTTGAGAATACATATGACCTACTGCTTGAATCTCTATTTTTAACGGTTGAAGTCTATCATTCTTGAGAAGCTGTTGAATCTGTACTTACAATGGTTGAAGTCTAACTTCCTTGAGTTAGGGTCATATCTTGACTTTGGATATCTAATAATTTTGATTCCATCACCAACTAAAGTTTCATAACAGTGTTTTGGATGAAGCCCCTGTAGCAGCCTTACACATCTTGTTCTCTTCAGATGTTTCCTGCCCTCATCTATGGCGTGCTTTCAAAAGTTATGTCAGTTGTTAAGTTACTACTTGTTAGCCATTAATAGTGAGGTCCCTAATGTTCAGACACCTCAGTTGATACTAGTCAAGCTCCATACCCCCTCTATTTTAAAGCAAAAATTAAATATTATTTTAATTTAAAACAAGATTACTGTGGATGCTAGCATAGTGCAAAGCATCAGCTTCAGGATTATCTGTATTTTCAAAAAAAAGCCCATAGATTTCATAGATATCCCAAAACTATTTTTATTTTTATGGATGTTGCAGCCCAGTGCTTCTTCTTTTTGGAGTGTATCCAACAGCCCATTAAAAAAAAGGGTGGGAGGAATCTCTATGGTATGATAGAGATAATATCAAAGAACAGCCTGATATGTTTGCCTTCTAATAAATGGGTTTTGGATGGATTAGTTCAGCAGAAACAAATGTTGAAATATCTCGGTTGTTTTGGTCTTAACCACAACAAAATCTAGATGAATGTGAGAATGGTTATGCAGGGTGATTAGGCCAAGGCTGGGGTGTATCATACTGGCCTTTACTCTCACCTCTGCGTGTCTTAAGTGCTAGCCTCCCAGTCTCCATTCCCTCTTACCAGTGTTTTCCCTCTCTGCCTGTCTTCAGCTGCTGCTGCCACAAAAGTCCCAGCACGGCATCATTCATTCACCTGCCATATGATCTCCCGAGCACTGTACCTCCCTTTTCTTTGTTCCATGCTTTCTTCAGATGCCAATGTGTATGCCATTCTCAAGGAAATCTTGGCTTGCTCTTATTCCTCCAAATCATTTCTGCTTTTTCTCTAGAGTCTAGAGCTACCATATGAGTGTTGCAAAAACACAAGGGACCAAAAGATGGCAGCAAAGAATTAGATACAGATTTCAAATCTTTTTGCTGCCCTCTTCTGGTTGTGTTTTGCAGATCTGATAGCCCTATTCTTCTAACACCGTGGTTCTCAACCTGTGGGTCACGATCCCTTTGGGGGTCGAACGATCCTTTCACAGGGGTCGCTTAAGACCATCGGAAAACACATATTTTCAATGGTTTTAGGAATAATTTTATGGTTGGGGGTCACCACAACATGAGGAACTGTATTAAAGGGTCGTGGCATTAGGAAGGTTGAGAACCACTGTTCTAATAGTTCCAAAAGAAAACAGGATTTTTTTAAAAAAAAAAAATAGTGGTGGAGGACCCTGGTTATAGAAAAACAAAATTCTCAGGGTTATAGCTCTCTTTTCCAAAGGAAAAAAAAATACTTTTTTTTTTTTGTTTTGAAGAAAATGCAACCTTCAAGAAGAAAGGTATAGATTTATGAATGCTGTGAGAGGAGAAGCAGACAAACTCAGAAGGATCAAGTTAATGTTAAGAAAACTAGCATGGCTAGCTTGTAGAATCTGGGTAAGCTTAAAAGGATTGGATAGACTTGGAAAGATGGTGTGTATGAAGGGGGGAAGGGCACAGAAGGGACTAGATGAAAGTCAGTGCAAGGGCAGGAAGGCAGTGAGTGAGTGGATACAAGTGCTGAGGAAGGTGGGAGGAAGAGCAGCAAGGGGTTGCAAGGGAGAGCAAGGGGGACATAGACTGCATTGGACAACCCACTCAATTGACCCATGGGCATGGACTTTTTGCACTTCTGTTTGCCCAAAGCAAGTAATGTTCTGAATGATCTCAAATAGTACCAACCACATGATGGTGCTATCTTACTCTTACTCTTTCTTTTTGTGCTGGGGCAGCCAAGAGCAGTGTACTGCAAAGATGTGTTGGACATTGAGCAGTTTTCCACTGTCAAGGGAGTGAACCTGGACCAAACAGATGATGATTTCTATTCCAAGTTTTCTACAGGCTCTGTATCTATCCCATGGCAAAATGAGGTAATTATATATTTACTCATGCTTCCCTAAACACTTTTCTATCAGCCTTTCAGAATTTCATAAATGTCAAGCATATTCTTGAAATATTCTAAATACGTTATTTTTTCAATTTGGATGTATTCTGCAGCATTTTAAAATAAAAAAATATATGTTGCTATAATGTTTAACTATGCACTTTGAAAGGATATATCACCAGTTGTATTTTATTAAAGAGACAGAAAGTGATTCTTTCAAAATATGCAATTCTAAAATTTCAAACATCGTCTTTTTGCAGACAGGACTACAATTACCTGATGATAAAAAAAGCTAACGATAACTTTCTGTAATGAAAGACGTTATTGCTTTCATTTGCAACAGTTAGTTAATTGGGATTAAGACCAACTAATGTTTAGTTTAGTTTTGCTGTGTCCAATATGTTGCGTAAATCAGTTGCAGACTCACAATTTTTGCTACTCTTAATAAAAAAATATTTTAATATTGACATGTAAGATTTATATCAGATTGAGCAAGCTGAAGAAAATAGTGATTGGATTGGAATGATAAGACAGTAGAGAAGAGTGTCCAAAATTTAGAGAAAGTTGCAGGACATTCTAAGTTGCTTTTTAAAAAGGATTCATTGGTTATACTGTATGTTATTGTAATCATTTATGTTAGATTTATATCTTGTGTGGTTCAGGAGCTCAAATTCACATTATGTCCTGCTTCTGATTTCAGTACTGACTCACACAGTTCATGTAGTAATTCAGTATACTCAAGGTCAAAAGATAATAATAGCAAAGTACAAAAACACTTGTCCAAATGATTGGCTTTTCAATAGGAGCACACAGAAAAATAATCCAATTTCAGTCCAAGATTCCAAGTGCCTGGTCAAGATTGTCAACCAGTCCAGAAGTGAGAGGTTAATGGTTTCTTACACAATATGATTCATTGGAACATTGCACAGAACCATAAATCCAATGGTTATTTCCAACAAAGAGTCACGGCTGCCTCTTAAATTAGGCTGTAGCTAACTGTTACTAATCAAGTGATTTACACCTTTACTTGGCAAGGAGTCTCATAGAATATTGCTCTGCTCTCCCTTCTACTTACCTGGTGCAGAAGCTCAGTAGCTTTATATCATCCTCACCTGGCTGCTCCAATGTCCATGTGATGCCTGTTTTTGATCGGCCTCATGTGACTCTGGGCTTGGTGTCTAATCAGGCTGTTCATGTGGAGCAGCTTTTTTGGATTCAGATTCAGAATCTGAGGCCTGAGCCTAGATCATGGCACATAATGCTCCTTTCTCATATTTCCCCCCACAAGAAGTAAGGTAGGTTGAGAGAGTGACTAACCCAAAGTCACCTGATGTGATGGAATGTCGTAAGAGTTGGATTCCATGATGCATTCCAGAGATGTAAGAGGCAATTCAGTTCAGATGTCACATGTGAAAAAAAGAGGGCAAAACCCGTCCATTTCTAATTGTTTATGGAATATTTTATAAATGCAGAGTGCTCAGTCTGGCAAAATCCTATCTACAGGCTGCCTCTGTACTTACCGTAACTTGAAAACTGATTATCTTACAATGAGCAACCAATCTTCCTCCTATCTAGGTGTATTCTGTTGCATCTTTATAAATGATGAATTCTATCTAATAAGGCTAGAGTTTTCCCTGGTTTTCATTGTGGGTTCCAATAAATAATTTTTCTCTTTCATCATACTAGATGATGGAAACAGAATGTTTTAAAGAACTAAACTTATTTGGACCAAATGGTACTATCTCACCAGACCTTAACAAAAACTATCCTCCAGAACCACCGAAGAAAGGATTGCTGCATCGAATATTTAAACGTCAGGTAAGAGTTTCTAAAAGCATTGTATACAAATAAGAGTTTCTATATGCATTATATTCATAATGCATATATTTTATTAAATAAATATTCAATAATCTTTATCTATATTCCAAAATGTCTAAATATTGTCATAACATATGGCATTTACCATTATAGTCTAGTGATGGATGAAAACAAGCTTTTGCCAGGCTTGTGTCCTCCAATCATGTTGGCTTGCAGCTACTCATTATGGCAAGTTTGTGGTGAAAGAGAATTCAGAAACTAAAACACCACCTTTTCTTCTGGCCTTAGGTCCTGATATATAATTACTGTTGACCAAAAAATGAAACTGAGCATGGTCTAAGAAATCCCACTTGGACTGAATAACATAGTTGGAATACATGGCAATGTGTTTGTAAAACATTTGGAAGGAGAAGGCATTATCTATTCATAACTGACTAGCAAGGTAGACATGGCTAGTCATAAAACATACAGGTACTAGAAGAAACTTGTCTAGTGCCACAGTGCTAGGACAAATAGCCAGGTTTGCAAATGGCCACCATTTGCAGATTCTATGAATGCCAAACAGGTTTACTATATAGGACAGTGATGGCTAACCTTTTTGTCGTCGCATGCTGAAAGTGCGCACACTCATAAGGCAATGCACGCATGAATCCCTCCCACATGCGCCCCCCCTTGCCCGTTTTTGGCATCCAGGTTGGTGCAAAAGACCTTCCAGGCTCAAACCGGGGTGCAGGGGGGCCATGCAGCCTCCCTGGACCCCATTTTGGGCCTGGAAGGCCACCTGCACCAACCTGGAAGCCAAAATAGGGCGCAGGGGTGCCACGTGAGGCCCCAAAATGCAATGCAAGTGTCCCTGTGCATGCACCCCACCCCACATGCATGCGCAGCAGAGACCCGAAGACCAGCTGGCCGACGGGAGGTACACGCATATACGCAGTGGAGCTGAGCTGGAGTGACAGCTGGCATGCCCGCAGAGAGGGGTCTGCGTGCCACAGGTTCGCCATCACCAATATAGGAGATTTAGAGGCATTGTTGTATATAAAGAAGATGCTTCAGGCTGATGCTTCGCATCTACCAGATAATAAATTTGCAGTAGCTCAAGAGGTTCTGGCCCAAACAGAAGTTTCCTCAGAACCCAGTGGCTTAAGGAGAGTTGAGAGTGAGAAACTCTTGTAAATGGGCATGCAGTTAAAAGTGTGTGATATCCCCTTTTTTATTCTATACTTTATATCAATCAAATGGACAGATGTAATCCAGAGCATCACAGGCAAATAGTTATATTTTCTGGAAATTGCAGGCAAATACATCTAGAATGATTTGGTAAAACTAACTTTTTCACATCTTTCTTCCTTTTTAAAAAATTTCTCCAGCATCAGAACAATTCCAAAAGCGCTCCAAACTCAAAGGCCAATTTAAATCATCACATAAATTCCAATCACGTCAGTTCAAACTCTACTGGGAGCAGTTAGCTTTTTCTGGCTTATGGATATTGCATCCTTCCACTGATAGAGTATCAAGTATCAAGGATGAGAAGAGCACCCACCATCGAGCTAGAAGATCAACAATTTCTAACCATGGAAGGTTTTTTTTCCTCCTGTCTGTTCCTTCTAGGGAAGCTTTCCATTTTATGAAGATATTTACTCTCAGGTCTGTTTTTGGGGGTGGAACTTGAGGTCTTATGACTCAACATTGTACGATACCACAATAGAAATTGGAAGCTGACAACTTGCACGTATTTAAAATTGCATCCTAACTAGAACTGAACTTTGTCCTTATTATTTTTAAACAAACAGTTTTGTAAATTTCTCTATTGTCTCAGTTTACATTTTGTACATTTGTATTTAAATGAAAGTCAAACTTGGGGTTGTATATTTTCTGAGCAGCAGCTTGTACAGCCATGTGTTTTAAGACTTTTTAGTGTTTTTTTTTAAAGAAAAAGTGATCAATACTTCCAGTCTCAAAATGAGAGGGATTGTTTTTTGTTTTGTAAATATAGAAAATTGTATATATGTTCCTTTTTCCTATTGCTTCAGTTGATACTTTTTTTATAACTAACTTCACTTTTTTGTTTTTTTGGTTTTTTTTTGTTTTTTTGGTTAACGGCAACACTGCAGACTAGTGTCTTCCCTCACCTCTGTTTTGTTAAAAGCCTTGTATCTAATCAACTTAAACCTACAAAGTTTGCTCTTTCTAGAGAGGCCAAAAGGCTATGTGTGAAGTTCAGAACATCATGGGACCATTGTTGCTATTTGCACTTTTTTGTAGCTCTTATATTCGCTGAAAAATCAAATCCTGTTAAAAATGTCACATCGTTTTTTTCTTCCCTGGGCTGAAATTCTATAACTATTGTTAGAAAAAAGCAAAAAGTGAGTACATGTGAAGTCGACCTTGCCAGCTCCCTTCAAGAAGACAATAAGATTGTTCTTCATTACGTTATCTCTTGGTTTCATTTTTAAGTGGGCTTGCACAGTTCATGGAGAAATAGCTCTTGAATGCACACTGGATTTGCAGAAATGCCCATTTGATTCCTGAGTCAACATCTGTTTGTTAGTGTATTCGCTGCATCCCAGAACAAGAGTGTAATTGGTGCAATTGGTGTAGTCTGTATGCCAGCTGGTGCTTCCCAATACTCCTGCTCTCATGGATGTAGCTTCTTGAGCTCTAGCTTCCATTTACGATATGGCCACAGGAATATCAGGAAGCTGAGCTCTTAATGGGAGCTTCTGTATGTAATTTTTTTTTTATCTGTCCACTTTCCTTTTGCGATACTAGGAATGTGAAAAAAGATGTAATAGTTAGAGGTTCTTCAAACATCTTGGCCACTTTCTGGTTCTAAGGTATGACTAAATTGCATGGATTATCTTTCCCTGATTGGGGGAGTCGAACTTTGAACATTTATTTATGAAGAAGGAAGAGACAATTTCTTGTTTGGACTTAATTCATAAATAATCTCTTTTTTAAATAATAGTTTGCAGTGTAATAGAAAGAAGTGTCAATTTTACCTTTAATCTCATGAATTTAAGGAAAATTTAAGAGCTTTAAACTGCAGAAATGGAGGTTACATAAATGCCAATAAAAAAGTTCACCATCTACATCCAGAATACTACAACCAGTACCGTGTTTCTCTGAAAATAAGACCCTGTCTTATATTTTTTTGAATCCTGAAATAAGTGCTTGGCCTTATTGCCATGCGCTCAAAAGCCCATATCAGGGATGTCTTATTTTAGGGGAAACAGGGTAGTATCCTACACCAATTTTAAAAGGTGGAATTTCAGATGGTTTAATGTCTCTTCTTTCTTAGTAAAGGAGGATAGAATTTCAAATGCTCAGTAATTTTGAATATTTCGAATACTCAATAATTTTGAAAGAGATTTATCTCATGCGATATTTGAATCCATTTGAAATGTCTACATCTCTTTTTAAATCAGGGAGACATGATCCTTCCCCAGTAAATAGGCTATGTTTAAATAAATATTTATGAAATGTAATTGTGGATTGTAATATGCTTCCTTTCTGCAGATGATAGTATTTCAAAGATGGGAGCCTGTTTCCAAGGTTTTGGTCTCTTAACATATTTTTACAGGATAAACTTAGACTTTTCAAAAAAATGTGTGTTTGATATGAAACATGTTGGGTTCTTCCTCTGAGGTATTTCAACATGTAGCACACCCTTCTATATCTATATAAAATATTTCCTATCAATGACAACCAAGATAATGTCAATAAAAAGAAAGGCTTGAGCTTTAGACTAAAAAGCCACTTGCATTTGTATCCTGATTAAAAACATTTGATTTTTCTGCCATAATCATTCTTGTGCTCAACCGTAATCAATAATCTAAACCAGGGGACCCCAACCCATGGGCCGTGGACCGCCACTGGTCCACGGATCACCAGGAACCACACCATGCAAGCAAGTGAAGCTCCATCCGCTCGTGTGAGATCCAGGCAGCACGAAAAACCACACACACCCAGTCGATGGAAAAAATGCCCCCCCCACCAAACCAGCTCTGAGGGCCTCTAAACTATAAACTTCATTTAAATCAGATGAAAAGAGAGAAAGATCAGGTATCTATTGGGACCCAAATCTAGGGCATAAATGTTTCATTTTCACGCCACCAGTTCATAGAAATCCAGCTATTCTGTAACTCTGGATTTCCAGCTTTTGAAAGTGTACATAAATGTGTGCTTCTCTTTGTATTTACACATGCATGCATGAATTTTCTGGCATATCATGCATTCGGAATAAAAAAAATAATGGCTTAGTACAATGCCATACTTACCTTTTGCATGTGTAACGTTCTGAGTAATTCTTAGTGGAATAGCAGCCCCAGATTTCTCTGTTAGGCTGATACACAAATATTATTAACGGATGCAAGGGATGGATGTCAGTTAAAAATATGGTCTGCATTAGTCTGAAATGAAGATCTAGGCAATCTACCTACAAAAGAAAACACTTGTTTTAGAATTGTGGGTTCTATACAGTAAGAGATAAAACTTTTCTCCCTACGTTCTTGAGAGCAGCTCATCTTCCTTCTATACAAATGGAAGCAATTTTAATTTTGGGTGATCCATGAAAAAGAAACACAGTGAGTCCTCTCAGTAAGGAATATTTACGGTGTCATCCACTGAAGGCAGGTATTTCATCCATTGACGCTGGTATTTCTGCCCTTTCACCTGCTTCTGTCAAAATGCATATCACATCATAGCCTTTTTCCTCCTACAGCTTCACTTTCCTTCTGCGTTTCCTTTTCATTATGATAATGGTCTCCTCCTTCCCTAGGCCAATTTAATTGGAATGGAGTTCCAGATAGTAATAGGCAAAAGCTCAACACAATTCTGTCAGTCTCAGCAAAGAAGAGCAAAATTAAATTAAGTGATGGAAAGAAGATTGAACTTGAGGTAGGGGGGGCTTTTTTAAAAAGACATCCAGAAACTGTGAATTTTCTTTCAGTGTTTTTCTTCATTATTGCAACTTAACAATAATAACAGTTACATTACAGCAATAAAGCACAACTTAGCTTGTATAGGGGAGATACACACACACACATATATATACACATACACATATACATATATTCAAAATAGCTTGTGGGGTGCTATAAGACCCTCAAACTGGAACTCGTAAACATTTTTTTCTCATTACAAATGTTCATGCATCTATATGGAATTCTCACCTAATTTATAAAAATCATGGAACATAAGCTACTTTTTGAGTTACTTATTTGTCTATGAATGAAGTAAATTATTCTGCAATTATTTATTTTATACCCCCTTGGTAGTCAAGATATAGAGAGTAACGAAAATATGAAATTCTGTGAGGCCAAGCTGTCATTTGGGCAATGGCTATTTTAGGCAGTGTTTCTTTTTATTATCTGACTGGGGAAACCTCAATAATTTTTCTTTAATATTATCTAACAATCTAGATTTTCATTTCACAACTCTTGTAAGGGTGCAATAGTACCCTTTCTATTGTAACCAAGAGTATAAGCAATAGGAAGTCAAACATCATTAATAGTAAGATCAATAAGTACACAAAGAAAGGAATAGAAAATTTATCCTTGTCTTTATTTATTCTGATTCTATAAGCCCTCATCCAGAAATACTGATAGGTGCACCATTCTGAATTATTTATCCTAGCCCTTTCTATGTACAATTGATGCTTGGATTGGTCACTGTGTAGGAAAATTAATCTATTTGAAGGGAATGAATTCTACTTTTTTTAAAACCAGAAAATGTGTTTGATAGTTGAGCTCCATCTACCTATTTACTACTAGCTGCTACTTGGCTTTTTTAAACTAGATATGCTGGGGGTGAACTTGAGATCTTCTTAATGCAGCCCATTTGCTCTTCTTCCCAATTCAACAGGATTATGAGTAGTTCTCCCTCCTCATTGGGACATTGATGAAGCACAATATATTCAAAGAATGTCATACATTCTACAATCAAAAAAAGTCCCAGATTCTTTATTTTTTACCAAATAGGGGTATGTTGGAAGAGCAATATTTTTACATTCTTGGGTGCTTGGTATGGAGTTCTCCTCCTCCTCTTCTTCCTCTTTTGCACATACAAACCAGACTCGGCTTACAACCTGATTTCACATGCAGCTTGACTTTGTCAGACTGGAACACCTTATAAAAATGTCAAAACTACATCATTCAGATGTATCTAAAACAGGGTGATGCTCCATGTCTGAACATTGCAACAATTATTCTTCATGTTTGTGACACAGGTGCCATATGCTGAGGACCAAAACAAAGCTTATTTATTAGAGATTTTTATTTCTGTTTGTGCCATAACTTGCAATGCTAAGGGGATTAGTTATTGATTATTATTTTTTTAACTCTAAACAAAAAGAGGCAGTGGATATTAGTTGAGAGTTGCATTTCTGAACATGTTCACAAATTCAGTTATAGACTACCATAGCAGACTCTTGATTAAAATAGTGAGATATGTATTAATAATATACTTAACACTAAACTTTTTAAAAAATTACATTTGCACACTACTTCATGGGTTATATTAAAAAAGATTCAGAAGTAAATATTTTAAAGCACTTGTCATATTGTAGTCTGCTAAATAAATAAAATAAACTGCTTCTCATTAACATTTTTTCATAACTTAACAAATTATACATTTATAATAAGTGGAAACAAATGTTCTCAAATAGAAAAAATAGTGGCTGTTGATATTGTAAAATAATCATGATAATAATTCTAGAATCCAAAGGGTTTTGTTTATTTGGTTTTAATATTCAGGGAGGTGTTTTGGTTTTTTTATTGTTGAATGAAAACCATTTTTATTTTGAGGTTGTTACCGACATCTACGGCTTCTGTGTTTTCTGACTGCTTGAATTCTTGTACATGTCTGATAATATTGCAGTGCTGCTGTATCTAGATCAAACCACTGTTTTGTTTTGGGATTTTTTTAGGAAAAAGAAATAAATTCCTTTATTTAAGTAATGTCAAGTGTCTCTTATTCATATTCCATAAAGTCAGTTTTATTAGTTAGATAATTTAGCTGGACCCTCCTCTCAGTTAGCCATGTTGCTGCTAAAAATAAGCAAAATCCAGTTATATTAGGTGACTGTTTCCAGTGAGAGAAATTATGTTTGTGCACCCCTTTCTGGAATAAATAAAAAAATGAAATACACTGCAAAAGAATGTAATCGTGAGTGAGAGGATGTTTCAATTTTTTCCCATTCATTCATCCTTCATGCAGGAAAGCTTCTTTTGAAACTGCTCTGGAGAGCTGCCATTTTCTTTTTCTATAATATTGAGGAAAATTGTTCAGGGCAAGCTTGGGACTTGGTTTTTGTGGAATTGCATTTTATTCCTGCATGACTTAGAATGAGATAACTTTCAAAAGTAAAAAAGAGGGGACTATCGTGGACTGTTAATAAAACAGATTGCTTTTTTCTATGGATGGAGACATTTAGGTCCCCAAATGAGTGCAACTATTAAAACCAATGTACAATTCACACATCAAATGAGTATGATACAAATGATCAAAACAAATTGTGAAAAATAATGGAATAAAGAACAAAAAAAAAAGTTATTTGTGCAGAATGCTTAAAAATTACTGGTGAAATATAATAAGAAAAATAATATGAACCTGACTGTTCTTTGTATAAAATTAATTTTATATTAACTTGAGTTGGATTGATTCATGTCTTCATATTTTAGATAGTCTTCACTGTATTCTTCAATACATTTTCTTAATTATTTTTCAATTTCAATTTTGTTGTCACAAAAAGAGGCTGACTGAATTACAGTCTAAAATTAACAAAAAATCAGGAGATTTATGTGTATAATAAGTGAATCCTGAATTTCAAAAATTATTCATGCACAACTTAAAAATTACAGAATAAAAATGCCTACACCACAGACATTCAAAATCCAAATCAGTTATATATTTTGATCGCTATTCATCTACATCTTAACAATTAAAGGGTAAATATAGACTTATTTAATAGGGAATCCAAACTCAAATTAGTTCCATACATCTTCTGAGGGAAGAAACATAAGATGAATATCTTGCTGTAATTCCTGCTGTGAAATGATTCTAAACTAAGGTATCCGAGGAGATAGTAGCACCTAACTGAGTCTGGGTGATAGATTTGCTTAGTACCTAATAAATTTCAGGTTTCAGACTAACCTGGGATTATTTAAAAACACACCCTGGAAGAAAATAGTGCCAAGAAAGCACCATGTATTGTGTCCATGTAGCCACTGGAACTTCCATGGTTTTCAAAAAGACTTACATTACTTTATAACTAGATCTCAATTATTTCAACAAACTATTGTCATTTTATGTACTCATACTTGCATTTGCTTTATTATAAATAATTAAAGCTCTGCATGATGATGTTTTTCCTACTATCAGAGCAGTAGGTGCTAAAACACAAAGAGCAAAGTAGATAAATATAATCCTTTCAAACATAGAAAATTAAATTCAGGTAATTTGTTGATTATAGGTGTTAAAAAGTTCTTTTCTATGTATAATGAGGAGAGCATTCTCATTCTTTTCTATGTATAATGAGGAGAGCATTCTCAGTCCACACAATTTCTCTAACAGTGGTGGTTCACATTATGTTCATTGCACTATTATACACAAAATGCTAAAGAGAAATTGTATAAATTTTCAGCATCATTAGACAGGACACAATCCATGTGGAGTACAACAGAAAATAATTATATAAAAGATACATGCCAAATGGCTTCAGTTAATACAATTAAAAATACAACATGTTGGTCCTCTTACAGAAGCTTTCTGCAACTCACAATGAAGTACCCATAGACTCAATTGCTCCTGTCCCAGTACAATCGCCAGGAACAGCCCACTCAAATAGGAGAAGATGTCCCAAGTGACCATGCCTCCAATCCCCAAATCTTGCAGACAATCCAGAACAAGACCATGGTTAATGTCTTCAAAATGTTTAATAGTGTCATTTCTGCAAATTTCACTATATTTATTTCCTCTTTTCATTTTCAAATGCTTAAATTTCTCAAATGCCTATCATAAGAGCAAACTGGGATGCAATAACCGTGAGATGGTTTCATTTATTATAGTGCTGTTGTCACCTCTCGAAATGACTCTAGCTGAAGCCATAGTTTGCTTCGTTTCTAAATTGCCATGCATATGGGGGAAGGCAGATGTGAAGAATGTAGAATGTTTTCCTCTACAGTGCCAGACATAACAGCTATAAGGCTCATGAAAACCAAAGTCAGCTGAAAATGTCCTAGCAATGGCAGGAGGGAGTGATGAGAAGTTCATCACCTGCTTGATTGGTTTACATGACCTGTGACACAAGGAGTGGACAATATCTATTCTTTAATTATACCAAAGCGTGAGAATTATTCAGAGTTGGTTTCACATTTGAATGTGCCGATATGATGTACCCAAAAAATAGGATCTTTGAGAAAAGCCACATCCTCAAAGTCTTGAATTGATTGGGAGCATTACTTGTAACCATTACAGCTGTTTTATCATTTCTAATAATAGTACAATGGGAGTTTTGAGCATAGTTTGATTATATTTCAAATTACATAAATGAGCAGAACCACAAAATGGCTGCCATCAGAACATCATTAGTATTAAACATGTAAGGCAGCTCCCTGTTTTTTCTATGTATGTCCTTGCACCAGTGTGCATGTGTGCATAGCCATGTGAAGGAACAGGGAGTAGATAGCATGTTCAAAGTGTCAAAAATGGTCATTCTGTATCTTCTGCTGAAGCACTTTCTACTTAATGAGTTCAGGACATGATATGTTGGCCTGGTTTAAATAAAGTTGGAACATAATGACCCTTTGCTAGTATAGCAAAGACCGTTTTCTCCTGGTATAAAAGTTCAGAGGGAATGAGGCAGAGCTGGATTAAGTGGGTGTTGGCCTTGAATCCCTAAAAAATAGTAAACCTTGATCTGGTCAGCCAGAAATGCCAGCAAAGGGACATTTTATGGAGTCAATGACTATTGGCCCTGCTATTGTATATGTAATGTCTTAATTGTTGTCCATCTTTGCTTATTCACGGTAGCTGAGGTTGGATGACTTGAGTAATGAGGGAAGCTCGGCATTGTATAGTGGGTCTTAAACTAATTCCTAAAAAAATCCTCCCTTAATTTATTGGATTTTGCCAAATACTGCCCAGTTGCAAATATCCCTTCTTGGGACAAGATGCTTGAGGATGCTTGAGGAGATGGTTATCAGCGCAGCTTCAGATTGCAGTAAAGGGAAAACACCAATCTGCTTGTAAGCCACAGCACCAGACTCAATGCTTGTTAAGCACAGAAGCTCCTCTGAAGAAAAGGCAGGGTTGATGCCTACAGAGAAAGAACCTACTGGATAGCCTTTATCAGGCATGTATACTGAATATAAACTCTCTCAACCTTCTATGGTCTCTGGCTGTGACTCAACTCTAAGCCCAGGCAGAGACAACAACTGGTTCCTCATACTGTGAAGCCTTACTGAGAAGGAAGGAAGGAGCCGGGGGTTACTCAAGCAAGAAGTTGCTCACATGCTCGTAGCTAGGGTTGGAAAGCTTATTGAACTGTTGCTACATCCATTTAGTTCTTTGATTAAATTTTTTATTTTGAAAGTTACTTTGATTTCTTGGTTTGGACTATTGAAGGTCCAAAGAATCTGTTTTTATTGTCAACTGCTATGCTGAATGCTCATGAATCAGGAGAGAATTAACTTCATTTTAGAATAGAATTCTATTCTATTCTATCAGGGGAGAATTAACTTTATCAGGTTCTTTGGAGAGTCTAGGATTTGCACTCAGTATTAATTGTACTGACACAACATGGCTGACTGGGGATGTAGTTTAAGTCCAACCTAACCTGTTGTGGTTGGAACTAAAACTAAGCTTCTCTTGCTCTTGGGATAACTTGGGTTTCCTATTTGTATGATACACACGTGTCATGAATACTGTACTCCAGATAAAAGCACTGTCTGAATCCTGGTAATCTGTTAGGTGAAATTACTTGTCTTCACTCAAGCTATATACTCCCCACTATTCGTATTTTTGCATATCCTTGTTTATCCATTCATATAATTTGCAAGGCTCATTATTCTAAAATAACACAATCTGCTGTTTATCAAACTTTATTAAGTCTATCTAGAGTTCAACAGCTGGCTTCTGTAAGGTCCTAATTTCATGGGCTCTGCAGGTTTTTAAAGCAAAAAAATTGCCATTTTCTGTGCGTCTTTAACTTTTCCTATAACCATTAGCTCTTGAATAGGCTTACAATTATTGGACCAGTTTTTCCTATCAGGACAAAACAAGCCACGTGGATGTAAGCATGTCCTCCTGGCCATTCATAGTGACCCATTACCTCATTTCCTAAATGACAAGTGTTGCACAAAATCCTTTTAGTGTGAGAAGATACTTTACACAGCTGAAGAGAAAGAAAGGAAGCCACAGCAGGCATCAGGTTAATTCCACATGTAGCAGATGGCATCATTATTCTTTCTTACAAAGCAATCAAGGTATTAATGATACTGCTCAGTTTGTCATCTTACACAGAAGAATAATTAATTGCTCTACAAAATAGCAGCAGTTGACATGGTGGCTTTTATAAGTGGAAACGTATTATAAACTAAATGGCTTCACTCACTACAAGCATAACACTTACTGTCAGTACAAAAAACCCTTTTACTGAACCCTGCAGGTCCCAAACGTGTTATTATAACTGTGGTACCTTTATCATTAAAACGTATTTCCAATCCTTCATTTCCATCTCTTCCTGAACCTGAGTGTCCCTGTATGAGAACACCAACATACTTCCATTCAGCTGTTCACTGTGCTTAATGAGATAGTGATGGTGCTACTAAAAAGCTGTCATTTACACAGGGATTCAAAAAGTCAGGGGATAATGGGGTTCCATTTTAATCAGAGGGCTGGGTTTTGTTCTCAGGAGATGGAAATGGGTGTCCACAATGAGTGCTCCATTCTGATCCCACACACTCCACTTATTTTACTATTACTTCACAGGCAAAAAAAAAACAAAAACCCACATCTGTAAAACTGCCCTGTTTAACGTGAAAGGTTACTATTAGTGCACCGACTGCAATTCCTTTATCTTCAGATGAAAAGAAATGTAGATTATGTTAAGACGAGGTCCTTTACAGCCCTATGATTCTATGTTCTGAGATGTAGGCTCTCGTTTAACTTTGAAAGGTAGGAGGAAGAATCGTATGTAGATTTTGCACAGGGAGGGAAAACCTTGATCTTTATCGTAACAATTCTACCACAGTTGGATACAAAGAAAAAGAAGGTATTTGGTGGGCATGGCCTACCATCTAGGGGTTGGTTCGTTTCAAAAATAGCTTCTATAGCAGTGGTTCTCAACCTTCCTAATGCCGCGACCCTTTAATACAGTTCCTCATGTTATGGTGACCCCCAACCATAAAATTATTCCTAAGACCATTGAAAATATGTGTTTTCCGATGGTCTTAGGCGCCCCTTGTGAAAGGGTCGTTCGACCCCCAAAGAGGTCGCGACCCACAGGTTGCGAACCACTGTTCTATAGTGTTATGACCTGATTTAAATACCTTTACTGACAAGAAAGTTTGAATTTAGTAGAGCTTATTTCCAAAACAGTATAGTATTATAATTCTCACATTAACTATTTCAGTCGAACATTTTAATAGAGCAATTATGCCACCATAATGTAGAATAAAATTAATGCCCAGTGATATCACATAATAAAATAGAATATTAAGGATGGCTGCATGAAAACTATATTCACAGCCTCAGACTCTGAATGAGAAATTCTGAGTGTTCTTGTCACAGAAGGCTGTCGTATCCTGGAATGAAGTGATAAAGGAAGACTGTGAAGGATTTGGCCTTATATATGTTTTATTCTGATTGCTTCCAGAGAATTTACTTGTTTATGAACCTTCTGCTGCACTTGTCTCTAAAGTTGTGTAAACATATGTATAACTTTTTTTAAAAATGGGATAAGACACATAACTGCCAATTTTTAAAAAGCAAATTATTTTGTATTGTAGTAATGTTGATCATTTAAGTTTAATTCAGAGAATTATTCTGTGTTACTAAAAAAGACAATTTGCAAAAATGTTTGAATGCGGAGAATATATATATATGCAGACAGTATCATAAATATATAAAACCACTTATTGTATTAAATTGGTAGCAAAAAAAAATAAAAATAAATAGATGAATGGGCCGATCTCTTAAAACATAGGTAGGATCAGATTTGGGAGCCCTTGCAAAGATTACCAAGAGGTCCAGGACTGTAAATTGGACTGGAATGTTGTACAGATATCCTAGAAGGAGAAGATCTTTGAAAGCACATTTGCCTTGCTATTATAGCTTTTATCAGCTATATTTTGATAACTTGAACATTTTTGTTGGCATTGAGGGCTTAGTGGTTTTGTATAGTTTAGTAACATTACAATATTGCCTATTCCACTTGTATCATGCTATCAAAATCAGGCATATTATACAACAATCAAATACACTTCAGACTTGATTTACCAACACTCTTCTCACACAAAAGGCATCTCTAATTTGCAAAATGGAACAGCAAAGTGTTTATTTAGAGAGACACCTCATCCAAAATCTATGCCCAAAACCTGAAAACCCTGTACTTCTATACAACTATTCAATGATTCATCTAATCAACTTCTTTTGAGAGGCAGTTTGTTTTGTCGTTTGTACATAAAATATAAGACCTCTCTCCGCTTTTAAAATCATAGAAATGAAGTGAGAGAAAAACTTCAGGGTAAAATTGTCAGAAGTTTCATCTTCCGTGGAAGTCAATCTGTGTCAGTTATGCCCCAAAGCAACAAAAACAAAAGTGTATTGCATTAAAATCCTGCGAAATAGTACTTCCAGTTTGGTACTTCCAGCTGTGCATTATACTTCAATTCACAAAATTTCCAGCCAGCAAGTCCAAGGGATGGGCCCACAATGAGCTTGATTTGACTTGGCTTCATTTCATGTACCAAGCATTTTCCAATGGGAAAAACGGCTGCAAAAAGGGACATATGATCAAGCAGAAATTAGTGTAAAAGCAGGCAATTGTCAGTTAAATAAATGGCCCAGGTTATTTGGCGGATCACTTGCAGCCAGCAACAATATCCCATTGCCCGGTTCGCGCCCATAGGGAGGGCCTGCTCAGGGTGCCGTCAGCAAGACAATGTCGGCTGGCAGCCCCCAGGGGTAGAGCCTTCTCTGTGGGCACGCCTACCCTCTGGAATCAACTTCCTTTGGGGCTTCGGCTGGCCCCTGATCTTCGCACTTTTCACCGCGAATTAAAAACTTTGTTATTCGAGTCCCCCGGCCTGGACTGATGGGGTTTTTTACGGGTTTTTAATTGTATCTGATTCAATTAGGCATTTTAACTTGCATTATGGATTGTGGTTTTATTGTTGTGAGCCGCCCTGAGTCCGTTGGAGATAGGGCGGCATATAAGCCTAATAAAATAAAAAATAAAATAAATAAATAAATGAACTATAGATCAAAGGATCCGGGTGATAATAAAAGAAATCAAAACAAAAGAAAGTCCATGTCCAATCACCACCATGTAATATATACAATTTAATACTGTACTGTCACTGGCATTAGTTCAACCCAAGTATGATAATATATTGACCATTTGAAGTTCTATAATTCCAATATGTACATGTAGTCCTTGACTTACAACATTTCGTTTAGTGACTGTTCAAAGTTACAATAGCACTGAAAAAAGTGACTTATGGCCATTTTCACACTTACGACATTTCAAGCATTCCCATGGTTACCTGATCAAAATTCAAATGCTTAGCAACTGACTCATAATTATGACAGTTGCAATGACCCCGGGTCTTATGATCACCTTTTGCAACTTTCTGACAAGCAAAGGCAATGGGGAAGCCAGATTTACTTAACAACCGTGTTACTAATTTCACAATTGTAATGATTCACTTAACAAGTGTGACAAGAAAGGTTATAAAATGGGGGCAAAGTTCATTTAACAAAGGTCTCATTTAGCAACAGAAATTTTGGGCTCAGTTGTGGTCATGAGTCTAAGGCTACCTGTATGTTCTCAAATAATCCCCTGTAGCCACAGTTACAAATGGGAGCTGTATCATTATAAATCATTTATCATATAAAACCGTTCAATCTATCATCGCATCAATATACAGTAAATTCTGAAATAAAATAAGCGATAGTCCCAATCACAGCCACATGGAATGATTTTTCTGCTTTGACCAGGGCTGGATTTAGATGAAAAGAGGCCCTAGGCTATTCCACTTATGAGGCCCTTTCACCTATAGTGAAAGTGTAATTTTAATTTTGCTAACAATTTGAATGTAGGCCCCTCTTCATCTTGACGCCCAAGGCTGAAGCCTAATTAGCCTATAGGAAAATCCGGCCCTGGCTTTGACAGATGTAGGCCATGCAATTTAAATTAGAGCCAGCAGGTGGATTAGGAAGTCTATAAATGTTAGTTCCTGAATCTTCCAGATATATAGATGATGGAAAGTGCTGGGCTGGAACTTGAATTCAGATCGCTTCAGACATGATACTCACACAATTATCTTGGATAGTCAATGCTTGGGATCCACTATTATACTGAACCAAATATTATTTGGTTGGTTGGTTGGTTTAGCAAGTTGATGAACCCAGTCTGGAGAAAGAATAAATACCCACTCTGTACTACGTAAAAATATAGTTTGCTTGGATTTAGTGTAATGAGTTGTATAAACCTATGATTTGTTAACCATGGCTTATGGCATAGTATATGGTTTTTAAATAAACTATGTTTAAACAAATGATAGCTTAGCATGTTGTGTGAGCACAATCACTCTAATTCAGTGTTTCTCAACCTTGGGAGCTTGAAGATAGGTGGACTTCAACTCCCAGAATCCCCCAGCCAGCGCTGCCATAGAGTGTTCTGGGAGATTGAAATGGTGTGACACTGCTTTATATACATTACCACTCAACCTGAAGAAGCTTGTCATCAACAACAGGAAACAATAGGACAGTGACACAACAATGGGAACCAGACCCTGCAATAAATCCAGTTGTATAATTTGCCCCCATATCTACACCAGTGGCACATCACAGGACCCAACAAGGACATCAAAAAGATTAGAGATGCCTTCGCAAGCCCTTCCTCTAATGTGATATATACATCATTATATGCCAGCAGTAGGCCTCTGGATTTTATGTAAGACAATTAGGTAAAACTTTATACGAAAGAATTAATGGACACAGTTTGACATCAAGCTTCAGAACAAGAATAAAGCAATATCACAGCATTTCAATCTCTCAGGTAATTAATTACACATTTCAAAGTACCCATTTTAGAAAAAAGAAAATTTACCAGCACAAAGGAGAGAAAGAATGCTGAAATCACATACATCAAAAAATTCCCAGAAGATCTCAACAAACCCATTTGCTTCTGCATAGCCAACCTATCTGCTCCTCCCTCCTATCTCATCTTAATTTAAATCCTGCATTAGTTGTGCCAGTCTATGCATCTGATGAAATGAGCTGCACTCACAAAAGTTTATGCCTTCCAATAAAATGTGTTAGAAGAACTGCTATCAGACTCCTGATTTTTCGGCCTACAATCATTCCATTCGAGTATTTAATTGGCTTGACCATGTTTATTTTCTAAACCTAGATGAGGTTTGCTACAACATGAAGGTTTAATAAAAAATGTAGTTTGGCTCAATTACTTTTATCATTTAGTCCTGTTTCTCTGTTAAATATTTCCTTTGTAATGCAATGAGTCAGTGCTTTATGAGAGGAATCAGGGTAGCCATATAGTTCTGCTTTTCAACAAGATTGAGATCAGAGAGTCTTTTGCTCACAATATTCCCTAACATCTTATTTTGTTATATCTCCCTTGTCGCTATTTCAATCCGCAGTCAAGTTTTTAACCCAACTCTGTTCTCACTCTAGCTCCATTTTTGCTTCTCCCTTTGTCTTTATTAGACAGCTAATAGTTTCAATAGTTCACACAGATGGTCCTTATTTACAAATCACATAGTAATTAATATAATGAGCATGAGCACCAGATACCATGAGCACCAGATGAGGCAGATTTCTACAATGTAATCATTTGTTTAAAAACAGAAATTGTTCTACTTTTCGTGTTTCTAGATTTTGAAGTGATTGTATCTATAGCAGAGGAACTGAATTACGAATGCTTATAACCAAAGTAGTAAATATTTGTGTATCTGTATGTACGACATATACAAAGACACACAAACTTAATTTAAATAATCTTTTTTTCCATTTCCTTTTTTTTTTGTTAAGGATGGAGCCCAATTATCCCATCTTTCTTCTTCTTTTGTACAGTATACTTCCCCAAATATTTTAATAAAGTGATTGTATATGATACAATGTCTTAGGGCAAATTCCACACATTCTTCTTCCCCAGATATAAGGATGACTTGCTAACAGTTTCCAGAGGACATCTCCATATGCCACCAGCTGTGTCTCATTGTCCATACACTGCTAAGGCAGCCTGAAATAACTGTAGATGCTCCATCTAGAATGGTATTTTTCCTCTTAAATTACCTCCAGACACCGCATAAAAGTAATATAGGGCATGTTGATCCCCAGATACGATATTGTCACTGGGGATGCTTGGATACAGAGATTTTGATTGGGAAGGGCCAGACTACACCATTTTCAGATGTTTGGGGGCAAGTTTAGAAAGACATAAATAATCAACTTGGATATAACCCAAGTCTCTTCAGACTAGACAAGTATTTTCGTTTTTCAGCTTCGTTAATTGTTTCCAATCTTTATCAGACATTTCCCTCTGTTCCCTAATGAAGCTTAGCTAGACAATGTGTTTTGCATTTTTTTCTCTAGACATGTGTTTTTTTCCAAGACATTCTAAGTAAAAGTTATATTATCATAATATGGTGGAATCTAACAGCATAATAATACAATCGCTATGATATATGACATGACATGATAATATATAATATAATGGCTGGTCCATTACTAGAGGTTTTTAAGAAGAGATTGGATAACCATTTATCTGAAATGGGATAGGGTCTCCTGCTTGAACAGGGGTTGAACTACAAAACCTTCTAATTCTGTTGTTCTGTTAACATACCTGCATTCCTCACATGCATGCATACCTTCTCAGGTTTAATAACTAGTTTTCATTATTCTGGGTCTAAGAAAAAGGCTTACATAATTAATCAGTGTGGTATCATTCATTTTCAGGTGAAGAGTTGACAGATGATTGCCTGATCATTCTGACAGGTAAATGTTTTATTTTCTACTATGTTCAACATTAGCCAAAGCCTGGAGTTACCTAGCTAGATTTGCCCACAATGTTGTACTCCTTCAGCTCTCTTTTTCTCAAAACATCCCCTCAAATGTTTCAGTAAATCTTATGCCAGATTTACCCTGAATCCCATAAACCTAATTAGTTCAGGCTATTTTTAAATTTAACAGCCAATGTTATCCTGGATAAAAACCAACAGTCCAATATCCTACCTTCAACAGCCCCTAGAGCTGTCACTTAGACACTGTAGCGCCTGTAGCTGTAAGCCAGCTCCTCCATTGCTCTGTTTCTTTTCCCAGAATCTTTTATGGTGGCTTTTAACTCTATCTATTATGCCAGTTTGGTGTCTGATATTGATACTACCATTTGCAGCAACTCCTGTGAGAACTTTCCTTCTGGCTGGGGAATTCTGGGAGTTGAAGTCCACACCTCATCCAGCGGCCAAGGTTGAGAAACACTGGTCTAGACTCAGTAAACAAAGCACAAAGGACATTTGGATTACTTTCCCTTCTCCCAATTACCACTTCATAGTTTACACAGCTATGGGAATCCGTGACTAGCCAGCATCAAAACATGGTCGATTGATAATCTGATACATATGTTTAAAAAAGAGTTAGAATGGTATCTGCCAGGGTGAAATCCAGCAAGTTCTAACAGGTTCTGGAGAACCGGTAGCGGAAATTTTGAGTAGTTCGGAGAACCGGCAAATACCACCTCTGGCTGGCCCCAGAATGGGATGGGAATGGAGATTTTGCAATATATTTCCCCCAGGAGGGGAGGGAATGGAGATTTTGCAATATCCTTCCCCTGTCACGCCCACCAAGCCACCCCCACAAAATTGGTAGAGAAAAATTTTGGATTTCCCCCCTGGTATCTGCCCTACGGTAGCCATCTTTCAGAAAGCTCCATATCTAGGCAGAAAATTAGCAACCTGCTGTTGTTTTCTTTCATTTTCATTTTGTGGCTGATGATCCAATAGCAGAGGATGCATCAGAAATATAAACACATTAAAAAAGGCAAATTAAGAATTTCCCCTCTTAACATTTTATTAGGTTCTTTCTTGGCTAAGTGTTTGGGGAGTTTGGCCTTTGTGTAAGTAAGATATAAAACAATCATAATGCCACCATCCCCCAAGAATGATAGCTATTCCTTCTTGGTGGTTGGAGGTCATGTACATATTATGTCTCACTTGCATCAAACCATAGCATAAGCCTGCCCTGGTGGCATAATTTTTCTTTCTTCTCCAAGATATAGCCTTCTTCTGATCCACATCCGATAGGTGAAGGAGACCTAAGTTTTCCTGGTCTTACAATACTGTTTTCCTTTAATTGTAATACTACTAGCCAAGAGCAGCCTTGAGATTCATAACATTTGTTAGGATGTGTTACCCTTGAAACATGGAAGGGATTCAGGTGCCTCATAGGTAATAAAGGCAGCATAAGGATCAGAAATGGGCAGCAAAGTTTATGCCAATATAATTTTCTGTTGATCAAAGGATAAGTACTGTAGATACTGTAGCTCTTCAACTCAGCAATGGGGAAAGCCCCCTGCAATGAAATATGACAAAAAATTTATATTAGCACAAACATATCCATATATATTTATATACGGTAGATACATATAGAAATCGGAAGAGATGCCTAGGGAGCCTTTGGAGGTCTTCCCTCTCCGAGTCTGACCGAACACAGTTGAGAACCCATATTAGGTCTTATCTTAAGGCGATGGAAGCGGCGAAACATGACTATTTCGCTGCTCTCATTGCATCTGCAGAAAATTGCCCAGCAGCCTTGTTCCAAGTGACCCACTTCCCTTTTCCATCAGGGAGCAAGGGAGGACCCCTTGCAAGGCAGTGCTGAGGATTTTGCGCAATTTCTGCAAGACAAAATCGCTCAGATTCAGACGGGGTTAGACTTTGACTGGGCAGGATCCGATGAGGGGATGGGAGCAGATCTTGGAGGTAACAGCGGGATTGACTTTGATCCTGTTTCTATGGAGGAAGTGGACAGGATTGTGGATAGACTGGGGGCCTGCATGTTTACTGGACCCTTGTTCCTCCTGGCTTGTTGCGGCAACCAGGGAGGTGACTGGAGACTGGATCCGGGCGATTATCAACGCTTCATTGAGAGACGGAGTCTTCCCCGCCTTACTCAAGGAGGCGGTGGTTCGTCCCCTCCTCAAGAAGCCTGCCCTGGATCCGGCCTCCCTGAACAACTTTCGTCCTGTCTCCAACCGTCGCTATAAATGCCGTTTCCGTGCTGTGTCCGTGCCTGAAGCCTGATTGGTATGGGTCTAGATAATCAGTCTCCTCCAGGAATTGCGGAAGCTGGTACGCCACCACAGACTCAACAACTTTCTTTATAGCAAAGGTTGTTGAGTCTGTGGTGGCGTACAGCTTCCGCAATTCCTGGAGGAGACTGATTATCTAGACCCATACCAATCAGGCTTCAGGCACGGACACAGCACGGAAACGGCATTGGTCGCCCTGGTGAATTATCTCTGGCGGGCCCGGGATGGGGGTTATTCCTCCATTCTGGTGCTACTTGATCTCTCAGCGGCTTTTGATACCATCAACCATGGTATCTTACTTCGACGTCTCGGGGGGTTGGGGGTCGGGGGCACTGTTTTACAGTGGTCCTCTTCCTACTTCTCAGGCCGTACGCAGTTTGTTTGGGCGGGGGGGTCAGAGATCCTCCTCGAGACCCCTCACTTGTGGGGTGCCGCAGGGGTCGGTTCTCTCCCCCTGCTCTTTAACATCTATATGAAGCCGCTGGGTGAGATCATTCGTGGTTTTGGGGTGCGGTATCATCAGTACGCTGATGATACCCAACTTTACATCTCCACCCTGGACCAACCCAGGGATGCCCTTTCCGTGATGTCTAAGTGCCTGGAGGCGATACGGGTCTGGATGGGTAGGAACAGGCTCAGGCTCAATCCCTCCAAGATAGAGTGGCTGTGAATGCCGGCGTCCCATGATCTAGCTCCCACATCACTGTTGATGGGAGGGGAGAGTCTTGCTCCCTCAGAAAGGATTTGTAATCTTGGCATCGTCCTTGATTCACGGCTGTCTTTAGTGGACCATCTAACGGCCGTGACAAGGGGGGCATTTGCACAGGTTCGCCTGGTGCGCCAGTTATGCCCTTTTCTAGACAGGGACGTCCTCCGTACGGTCACTCATGCTCTCATTATCTCTCGGTTGGATTACTGCAATGCCCTCTACATGGGGCTGCCCTTGGGATGCATCCAAAAGCTCCAACTGGTCCAGAATGCGGCTGCGCGAGTAGTTATGGGTGCATCCCGCTACTCCCATATAACACCACTATTGTGCGAGCTGCACTGGTTGCCGGTGGTCCTCCAGATCCGCTTCAAGGTGCTGGTACTCACCTATAAAGCCTTTCATGGCATGGGCCCGGTGTATTTGCAGGATCACCTCCTACCGGCCTCCCACCGCCCAGTGCGCTCACATAGGGCTGTCCTCCTCCGGATCCCCCCGGCCAGACAGTGTCAGCTGGCGGTCCCCAGGATGAGGGCATTCTCTGTGGTCGCACCGACCCTCTGGAATGGGTTGCCCACCGTGCTCCGGACGGCCCCCAACCTCTGGACCTTCCACGCTGACCTAAAGACATGGCTCTTTCAGCAACTTCCCTGATCTGCCGTGGATTTTAATTTGGGGATTTGGGGATTTTAAATTGGTTTTTAATATTATTTAATCCTTATCTATTGTCAGGTTGTTTTATTGTTGTGAGCCTCCCCGAGTCCTATGGGAGAAGGGCAGCATATAAATCTGACAAATAAATAAATAAATAAATAAATAAATAAATAAATAAATAAATAAATAAATAAAATCTGTGCAGACCCTCTACAGAAGCTGCATTGATTATCTCCTCGCTAAGAATAATTTGTGTGAATTACAGCATTTAATTAAATGTACTGAATTTCCAAAACAAACTTCTATCTGCCAAGAAACAGGTATGCATTTTTAAAGCTTTCATTTAAGAAGGTGAAGCTGGCAGACCAGAATTATCTTACAATTTTATTATTTTGGAAAATAGCCTGACGCGCTCTGAAAAGCATCAGTTCAACTGGGGACAGAATCCCTGATGAGGTTGAAAAATCCCAAATTTCTGTTCATGCCTACCTAGAATAATAAGAAAATTCCTTCCTTCCTTCCTTCCTTCCTTCCTTCCTTCCTTCCTTCCTTCCTTCCTCCCTCCTTCTTTACCTACCTACCTATCTAGCCACACATGAAATAATGCTGGACATGAAATATGCACAGGGATTCTTGCTATAAGTGTTGCAGTCCTTTATGTTTTACTTTTGTAAGAAAGACAAGTTTCTATTACTTTATTGCATAGAGTGCTAGTTGCATATTGTGCATATTGAATAATATGCATAGACCCACTTAGTCATTCTAGAGAGATTCTCCTCCCCCCCCCCACATTCAATCCCCATTCAATCCTGGCCAATTCTTCGAGAGTGGCTAGTCAAGTCCCTACAATTTTCTTGGCAAGTTTTTTTAGAAGTGGTTTGCCATTGTCTGCTCCTTAGGCCTGAGGGAAAGGGACTTTGTGCCTAAGGCAAAACTAGAACTCAGGGTCTCCCAGTTTGTAGCCTGATACCTTAACCACTGCATCAAAATGGCTCTCTTCTAGGGAGATAAGACCCGCCAATTTCAGACAGAAGTGGAGTTAACCAATTCTGACATATTTTTAATGGAAAAAGTTTCTACTCACCCTTAATTTTACAATTCTTCTGTCTTCCTCAATCCTCTGCATTAATTCCAGTAGATAAGAGACTTCAGTGGATTGGACACCAAGAGAAAAACAAATGCCCCGACTTACATTACTTTCATGAAATGGTCACTATGTGTTTTTCAGATAATGCTGAACTTAGTTCTGAGCAGCTCAGCCAGCAGGGCCAATAACAACATTTGTTGGCAGTTATAGTATAACAATATTTGGAAAGCTATAGGCTGCCTACCTGTTGCCAAGAAAAAGCTATCATTGGATATTGCACAACATGGAGATTTTACAACCAATATAAATTTCTTGCATTTAAGTCTCACTACAGCATAGCGAAAGTAACATATTTCCACAAATTTCAAAAGTGTGATCTTCACTGAATGGAGGTAAACTTATGCCAGTAAAAACCAGGTAGTCGAACTGCCAGATATTAACAGACTTCAGAGAAAAATATAGAAACATACAGCTCCTGTTTCCATTTTGCTGCTAGTGTTTACATAGGGCAGCCTATTCTATTATTGATGTAGCATGGAGATAGCTACCCAAGATACTTCCTAAAACTAAATTAAAATGAACTACAGATTCTACATTGTTAAAAAGAAAAAGAAAAACTGAAGTCTCCAAATAACCTTTCTCCCCTAGATGTGCATTCTTGAGAATGATTCAGCAAACTGCAAACTACCAGATGTATTTATCTTTTCTCACCATCAAGTTCTACTTATACACCCACCCAACTCATCCTGTACTGACCTTGTAGCAGCTCTATACCAATTTCATGGAAATGGAGTGCCACCTGCTGACTATATTTTGCTATAAACTTCACATCCTTAATAATCCAGATTTCTTACTTTTAGACATGACTCTGATTGGTCACGCTTTCAGCCAGATGTTAAGACTGGGTTTGCCATCTTTATCCATCTATCCAATCCTTCCCAAAGACCTGGGATAGGCAGATGTTGTTATCTGATGGGATGAAGGATTTCACTGCAGGATGTAAGCTGTTCCAAGTAAAACTGCCTTTTATAATTAAATAATACTGGTTTTGTCAATGCCAATGGTGTTCAAGTGATGTTCCAGTTGTTTTGGATTTTCACCCAAGGCATTTATTGGTACCATTTCTTCTCTCTTTTACCACAGTTGTTCTACTTCTATTTGCAGGTCTTCGTAGTTTGTAACTTTCTCCAGTTCGTTCTCTTTTGTTCGGCTATCTCACAGGTATTGCAATGTCCACAGAGGTTTTTTAGTCTTTCTTCTCAACGTTTGCTAACTCTGGGGTATTATATGATACATGCTTCTCTATTTGAATGCTAAAGTCCCAGAGCACTTTAGCTTGTTTATTTTCTATTATTTTGTCTGTTCTCTGGTCCCATCAGTTCTTGCTTGCAAGCAAATGGTATTTCTTGCAGATCTTGCAATGCACAAGTTATTTGGTCATGCCATTATCTTTAAACAGTCTGTGCAATCTTCTTGCTGCAGCTAACTAGGTACTTGTGATTGATTTATTTTTTTAGCTTCTTTACAGAGACAGCACTTATTTTGTTGTTGTTTTTCAGCTTGCTTGCATTTCCTGTTCTAGCTTGCTTACGTCTCATGTTAGCATGCTGGTTTTATTTTCCATCCTGATCTTCCATTTTGGTGATGCACTATTTAGCTTTTTTGCCCCCCGTTTGTTGATTTTACATCCAAGATCTTCAGTTATAATTACAGCTGTGATGTACATCAGTTGATCTGTTTCTTGTAGTGAGCCAGGGCTTATAGGTGGTACTGGTATTACAGTACTGGCATCTTTTATGAGTTGCACTGTTTTTTCGTAATAAGCTTTAATGCAAGAAATCTTATTTTGCTGTTTCTGATGTTCTAGTTCTGAATGTAGTTTAGTTACAAAGTATGTGTTTTACATATTAAAAAGTCCTATAATCTTTTTCAAAGAATCCATTGTTTTAAACCTGGCACCCATCATTATTTCAATCTAATGTATCTCGGGTATCCGATTATATTGAATTAAATGCCTGACTGAGCATGAAAGGGGTAACTTCTTTCCTACCCCTAAATTAAACAAAAAGGTAGTATAATATGGGAAAACAGACTTAAGTTCAAGAACTTTTTAATAGGAGCAATTATTTGCTTCTTTTCATGTCTCAGACCTTCCCAAAGTCTATCCTCTTAAGCCTCAATGTGGATCTACAATTTAGGTCAGTAAGGAAGTCACTCTTAATATTTTTTCTAATCCTTGTAAATCGGTGTTTTTCAAACATGGCAATTTAAAAATGTGTGAATTCTAAGTTCCAGAATTCCCCTGTCCACACAACTTAAAGTTGCCAAACTTGAAAAACGCTATTGTAAATCACAGGTACCCAAAATAGGATTAAGGCATTCCAATAGTCAAATATATCCCTATTGTATTTTTTTCTAGGACAGAGCTTTTGTGTGGTTAAAAAAATGCCATAAATAGCTCTTTCTGCAAAAGCATTTTTTTTAACCCAGCATAGTTTTTTATGATGTATTCAGATACAGAGCATGTTGGATGCAATATGTCAGCATCTTTTTTTTTCCCCTTCCTCTTTTGCATATAGACAACAATGCAAAATCTTGCTAAAATGCCCATATCATCCCTGTTCAATGTCCCTTACCAAATATATAGATTTTTCTATTAGAACACTACAAAAAGTTCATGGTCCTGTACTAATCCCTGGAGATTGTTTTTCAAGATTCATTTCCAAATCTGCTGCTCAATATCTGGTAAGGGAATGAGAATTGATCAGTTTATGGAAATGCAGTGAAATACGCCTACAGAAATGACTCCTCTTGCGTTGCCATTGCATTAGACTTGCAAAATGTTATGCCAGAATATTCTTACATGGTTTTGCTGAAATTATTAAACACCTACAAAGTTTACATTAAAAAGATTCTTAAAAACAAGCTTCAAAGCAACAAAATTTGAAGAACAAGACACAACGTACAATACAATACACTCTTTGCAAGCCTTGGATTGTGCTTTATGCTAGCTTCAGACCCAGAAAATGGGAAGCGGGGGTTGAAGTTTGTAACCTAAGTGGAACAGTTCCAAACCATAATTTCCTTTTTGGTTTTCTTCCTACTCTGGTTGAACAAAAGAAAGTCATCTGATTTCTAGATAAAAGATCTGAACACCACTTCTGAACCCAGGAATATTTATCTCCCATACAAATCAGCAAAATAACCACAGGAATGGTATCTTCCCTATAGAGTTTGGCTTCATTTCTGTAAAAGAGTAGTCTTTAGTTATTATTTACTTGCTGCAGTTGTATAAGCGACCCATTGACATACATTTCCTGGAAATGTCAGAGCAATAGTTTCTCTGTATACATTTTTGTTGATTTAACAATTGTGCATGGCTTGTGTCCAAGATTACTGGTTTATTTAGGAAATAAATTAGTGGATGAAGAACCCTCCTTTGAGATAGTAGAATGAACAAAGTGGTGTTTTGCAATTATACAATTTACTTGTAATTTTAAAAATTATTATTTACAGCATTATATCCAAGTCCGATTTATAAATTTCCTAGATAGGTTTACATTTAAAAACAAAACTGTTATCTGCAAACGGAGACAGAACATAGAAGAAAAAATGAATAAGGGAATGACAAAGAAAATGAGCTGGGTTGAAGGAAAAACTGAGCTCCAGATCCAAAAGCCAGTTTTGCTCACTAGAATTTGAAATAGCTGTTTCCTCGGAAACAGAGTTTTCCACCTATAAAATGAATATAAAAATGACCAATCTCCAGAGCTTGCCCTTACCTTCCTTGGGAATGCTGTTCTTCCCATAGAAGTGAATATAGACAGTATAATGCATATGGAATGCATCAGCATGTAACTCTCTTACCATTGAATCTTTGCAGGCTGCTTGGACATAGGAAACTGATGTGCAGCAACCCTTTCCCAGAAACTGGGAATTCAAAACCTGGTTCATCACTCTTATCTATTTTTTCCTAATAAATATCTTATTTTTTTAAAAAAAACTTTCAACCTTAGAGCTTAACCATTTTTTAACTGAGAAAATCATTGAATTACCAGATTTACCTATTTTTAACTACTGAAAATAATTCCGGTTCTCTAGAGATGTGCTTTGTTTTATAATAATAAATCCTTTTATAATAATTATAATAATAATTCCTTTTATAATAATTTATAATTGTTGGTTGCCACCTTTTTATTGAACATCCTATTTTTAATAGGAAAGTTGTAATTTTATTATTGATGATATACCAACACATGTTTACATGTAGAAACTATTTACTGTAACTTCTTGACACACAGGGAATTTAGCTTCCCTTATTACTGGCCTCTGTGTTAATAAAAGACAATAGTGATTAAACTTCAACATAAGCTGCTCTCAAAGACAATTAACAATGGAGGTAAATCTGAATGTTTTCTTGTATTTAATGTCTGTTAATGTAGCTTCTTGCCATGTTACTTCGACCTCAACTTTTTGAGCTTCCCAAAACAGTCTTAAAGTTGTGTGAGTGCAAAGTGAAAAAATGCAAATCATAAACTCAAAGTTTCACCTGTTAATGCTGAAGTGCTTTTAATTCTTTACATTATCAATAGAGGGTGCTGCTCAATTTGGCAAAGCATTCCTATGTGTATTATTATTATTATTATTATTATTATTATTATTATTATTATTATTATTCTACTTATTCTAATTATGGTTTAGGTTTCAGATTTCTTAAAATTTATACAAATACAATCATTGAAGTAATTGTAACCTTGTCATTCTGATTCATCGATTGTTTAATCAACTAAAATATCTGATTAATTTGACACAACACATCTTAATTGACAGCCATGCTACTACATATTTATTTATTAATGTGAATGTGATTCTCCATCATTTTAGACTTGATTAGGGAAGACGAAATGAATCTTGCAATTTGAAGAACAGATTATCATATTACTTTCCACATAGTAGGAAAGGTAGTAATTGATTTACAACCATTTGTTTAGTGACTGTTCAAAGTTACAACAGCACTAAAAAAAGGGAACTTATGACCAGTTTTCACACTTACGGCCATTGTAGCATCCTTTTGATCACATATTCACAATTTGGAAATTTAGCAACTGGCTCAAATTTATGACAGTTGCAGTGTCAATTAATCAACTTTTGTGACCTTCTGACAAAGTCAATAGGGAAGCCAGATTCATTTTACAACCATGTTACTAACTTAACACCTGCAGGGATTCACTTAACTATGGCAAGAATGGTTATAAAATGGAGCAAAACTCACTTAACAAGAAATTAAGTCTCACTTAGCAACAGAAATTATAGGCTCAACTGGGATCGTAAATCAAGGACTACCTGTATAAAGTGCACAAATTTAACATGTTCAGATTATCAAAACATGAATATTTCAATAGGCATTCATGAACGTATCATATACATTATTTAACTGGCTAAAAAGAAATTAAATATGGTAGGTAAAACTAGCATTGAAATATTCAAATCAAAACTGTCAAGATGGATTACACCAAATATCAGGGAGTAATTATTTATATCCAAATGTTTCCAAGTACCTTTGCAAAATATTTCAAATTGATATACATAGTAACTCCTATAGTCTGTCACATGCATTTTTTTAGAAAGGTATTGCCTAGAATATAGGCAATTTTTATTAAATGGAGGCATAAACAGCCCTTAGATCAATTTATCCCAATCTGACATCCTGCAAATGTTGTAGGATTATAGTTTCCAAAATATGTAGACTGAAAATCTGGTAGGCATTAGATTCGAGAAAGCAGAGACACCTATTCGCTTCTAAGAAGCCATCTAAGTTATTTGAGTTTAGCTACTAAACCTTCCACTGATGTACTTGCATTTGTCCAAAACTTAGAGGCTTAGTCAAATCTCTTTCTGTAGTACCCAGCTGTTACACGTTAATTCATAGGGATCTGCACCTACATATTCTGTCTAAATGTCTGTATCCCAACATTTTGCATCCAGGTCTATATTAATTTTTAATTTTTTGAACAAGAATAGCTTACCCAGCACAAGGCAAAACAGACAATTTAATCAGCTTGCTTATAGGCACGAATATCCAATGTAACTATGATGATCATGGAGGCAGAATGTTGAATGTGGTATGGAGCCCAGATTAATTATACGATGCACTAATATACTTGCTTTCCTTGTTTCCATTTCTGACATGATTTTTTTTGTTCTCTGATCTTTGTTAAGCTTTTTGAACTGTATTGGCTTATGTGCCTTATTAGAATTGTCTAAATTGTGCTTTCATATTTCCATTTTAAAAACTTCCATCCATTATTATTTTTTAAGCTTCTCCTGCCACAGAATTTTCATTTGCAGTTTCTGAGTTTATCAAATGTTCTAGTAAGCAGTTAGCTAAGTTCAATTCCCTTAAAATAAAAAAACAAACATTGCATAACCACTAAAATTTGTATTATTTCTACTTCCTCAACTAAGTCCTTCCCATTGAGTAGCACTTGGACAAGATGGTCAATTCTCTTGTGCCATATATTCAATCCTCTGAAGAAACTTGTCCAGAAGACATCAAGAATTTTCTGAAGAAAATTCTGTTGTTTCTTCACTTATTTAATTTAAAGCTCTCCACACCTCTGTCCTTGTTTGAATTTCTCAGCAAGAGTGGATATTTTAATATACCATACAAACTCTTTTTATATTGCTTCTATTCCTTTTGAACAATGGAGTATAGAAACTGAAGGATACAATACTTGGCCTCACAGGTCTTTTGTACATTATTTGAGGTCTTTCATTAATTTACATTATTTTGGTTGTCTTACATTTATTTACATTATTTTGGTTGTCTTACATTATTTACTTTTTGGTTGTCTTCAATAGACGAGAACAATAGTTGAGAATTCTTGAGGTTCTGTCTTACTTCCTCAAACTTTGTAGTGGTATAACTGTAGCTGTTATTTTTACAGCATAATTTGTTCATTAGCAAGAACAGCTAATTGTCAGTGGCTTAATCAATCTTTCAAATTGTCATTTCTTTTATCCTGAAATACAGCTTATTTTAAATGGTGGTAGATTTAGTCAGTACATATTTGTTATGATTCATCATTATAAGGTATCATTTCTTAGTCTATGACTTCTTGTGGGACACAGTTGCATTATCTGCTCTAATGTATTTTATAGTGTCTTATATTGTTTCCTTATATCCAAACAGCTCTAATAGTTTAGAATATATTTTGTCTCTTCCTTCTGGTTATTATTCTTCCTTCTGGTTATTTGTTCCTTGGTTGTCTTCTTTCAGGAAAATTATTTCCATGATCTGTTGCTGTTGCAGCGCAGCCATTTCAATTGATAAAAAGTTTTATCTTCTCTTGCTCACTAAACTATGGAATCTTGCTGTTCTCTCCTTTAAAGACTACCATAAGATGCAAATATATGCCAGTTGTTCTGAGGCTGGATACAGATACATATCACAAACTTTGTAATGTAATTATCTGTTAGAATGTCTTTGAGAGACAAGAGGAAGAGGTGCCATGAAGAGTCTGATAAAAAGCAACTGAGCCCACAGATGGGAGGGTGCCAGCTCAAAAACCCTTTCTAGTTTCTTGGATTGTAAAGACAATCCATATGTATTTTCAGACTAGTGACATTTTGTGACTCTAAACTTACCATAAAGTAGTGTTAATAGTTATGGTCTGTACTTCTTGACTAAACTACCTCAAAAGGCTGACACTTAGAAATAGCTAGTATAAAGACACAGAATATCCTCTTACTGCTTTTTTAGATTCATGGTAGGCATATACTGTTGACTTAAAAAGAAAATTGGTGAGGTACCCCTCTTAAAATCTACTAGCAAACTCCCGTTAGGTCTCTGTCCATGCACGCTTCAAATTAACGTATGGTATTTCTCAGTTTCATTCATTATTTCTACCATCAATATAAATAACCAACACAAAATTGTCAAATAAGCACCAGTTTGTAGGAAGGTTGGTAGCCATAGTTTTCTCCTTAACTCATGAGTACCTTTTATCCTTCCATAAAGTTGGCACAAGGAATAAGTGATCTTGCTGTCAGAGATTCACCTTGAATATTGAAATAAACCTCTCAGTTTTAAGCCTCACTTAGGAACTTACAGCTCAGAAAGGGAAGCTGACTTTAAAATAAGTATCAAAGAAGCTCTGTTTCTGAAGATTATCAGCTATTGCAGTGTATAACAATCTGGTCATATTTAATAGTTAGTGCACTACAGGTCCAAAGGTAAGCAGAACTTTGAAATATTAAAAAAATTAAGCTACTCAATTAAAAAAAATCCACAGCAAGGAGATAGAAATAGGGTTTAAATCCTAAATCTCTCTCACCCTTACATGGTAACAGATTTCTTGCCATTCACTTATTAAGCTTTGGATGTTAAAGATACCTGCAATCTTATAGTGATCCTATCTTATCTCAGGCTCTTGCTTCCAACCTTTGTTAACTTCAGCCTCAATACTTATCCAGGGTATTTTTTCCTTCCTTCTAGGATGGTTCACACACCATACCATTTGATATTAATATTTGTTTTTGGCATACAGTGAACGTGTGAATCCAACTTTTATAGCTTAGTATGATGTATATATCCTTTCATTTAAATATATTAAAGATGATTAAAACAAACAAATAATGGCTTATCATGAACAGTAAAACTAGTCTCAATGCAGTTCATGGAAATAGAAAAAACAATGGCATTTTCCCTGTTTCCTGAATCATCCTTGAAACCCTTATCTTCTGCAGACATGATTACCTTTGTAAAATATATATAATCTACAGAAGTTTTCTCCTAATCACTTTGCCCTTTAGTATAAGAGAGAGACAATTAAATCAATAAGGCATTCAGGATATGTCTGTGGCGAAGAAATCGTTGACATTTTTGAATTGAAGTTACAGGAGATTACTGCCTACATCTACAAATGTAGATTTGCACTTGATTATACAGTGATTTCAGGGAGAACTAAATAAGCCAGCAACTCATTGCTGGTTCATCTCTGTGTTAAGATGAAAGCAGAATATAGCTGCTATCATTTATTGTACATATAATCAGTTCTGAAATTTGACCCAAGCATCTTATCTCTTCCTAATATATTACATTATGACTCAGACTTCTAGAGAAGAAAGCTAGAAAGAAAAATTAAGTGTGTGCTACTTGCCCAAATAAACAAAACTTACAAATATTTAAAGAGTTAAACTGAACAATAAAGTAGTCCGTACAAAGATAAAAAAGCAAATAGTTGGTAAGCCAGAATTACATTTCACATGCAGGACTTGTAAATGAAGTGTGCAACCCAATTTGTTTCCTCATGTTTAACAGCATTGCAATTATTTTTTGTGAAATGAATATTAAAACAAAAATAATTAAACTAAAAATAGATTCTTTGCCTCAGCTATTACAGCTGAAAAACAGAGAGTAAGGCTTTTGGTTGAGGTTTGCAATCATATTATCATCATTATTATTTTTGTACTTCAATTTTCAATAGATGACAAAACATTAACAAACTATGCTTCAGTCTCAAGCATGAAGAAGGAATGCCCCAAGCATAATCAAGTATAAAATACTCTCACACATACTAACATATACCATTTCATTGGCATTATCAGTATTTGAAATGTGATCTTAAAAAACAGGACAGCAAAGCACAATTTCTTTCTAAATGTATGACATTTCTTTCTTGCCATATACTGCTGTTTAACCTCATACACAGCCCACATATTTCCATTAACTCCGTATTTCTACCAGTGTATTTCCATATTCATAATTCTGCAAAAAAATATTTTCAAGATAGCCAAGACAAAAATGGCATGTGTAGCATAATCTCAGTGTTGAATTGTTGCGAGATTTGTCCATATTGTTTTATTACTGAGAATTTTTTAAAAGATTTAGGTATTTTAAAGATGTAGGTATTATAAGGTAATTCTGCTGCAGTTGAAAATAGATCCCTTAATTTTAAATAGAAAAACACACTATAAAATGGGTCCAGGAAGCACTTTTTCGAAGACAAAAGTCCTAGCCAAATACCTACTGTAAACTATCTTGATCTGATCCATCCATGGATTGGGTACCTAAAGTGATATGATTAATTCAATTCACACAGCAATTAAAACAAGATGTTTTCGTAAAGTCTGTTAAACAAAACTTTATGACTGTTTCAAAGTCTGGGGCACAATGGATCAGCAGTTAAAGACGAGCATGTTAGCTGGAAAGCTGATGGCCCAGTTTCAAGACCCAAGCGCTGCACAACAGGGTGAGCTCCCATTACTTGCCCTACCGAGCACTTGCAAAGAATGCAAATGCAAGTAGATAAATAGGTACCCCTTTAGTGGGGCAGTAACAGTGTTCCATGCGCCTTGGCATATAGTCATGCTGACCACATGACCATGGAAATGTCTTCAGACAACACTGGCTCCCATGGCTAAGAAATGGAGATGAGTACTGCCCCCTAGAGGCAGACAAGAGTGGATAGGGGAAACTTTTGCCTTTTATTATCTCTACTTTCTTGCTTTACTTTTTAATGCTACATTTGTCACACACCCCTACCAAATGACTTACAAGTAAATATATATTTTTTAAAAAATTAGAGGCAATTTGCAAGAACTTACATATTGTTCAGTCTTTCAAGGGCTGTCATATCCTTGATCATTGTATCTAGAAGCAAGCACTGGCAAGAAACAATTCACTGAAGCAACCAAAGGTAAATTTAATCTAAGAGGATTCTATACTATTCAAGCCTCTAAATGCATCTATGTTAACCACAAAGATTATTCCTGAGTACTGATTTACTTTGATTGTAGTCTCAATATGATCTATGGATTGTTGTGGATACAATCATGTATTATAAATTCTAGAAGCTCTTTTTGCTGCAGTCTGAGGATCAGGTGAATTTTCTTCCTGTTCTTCAGTTTCCTTCAATTTAAGAAATATATCTGATTTCAAGAAGCGGTTGTAGCTGTCATATTTCATGAGGTTGAAAATCTGTATGGAAAAGGAAAAAATGCAATCTATTTGAAACTAAGCATCAAACAACAAGAAGAAAGGTTTTGCAAATGAGCTCCCCAATTAGTCAACATGTTTAAAAAATTCTAAAAAGAAAATTTTCTGTTGCCCTAGCAGGCTTTCCCCAATTAGTGATTCCCTTCAGGTATCTGAAATTGATTTTCCAGAATTCATATCCACCATTAACTCTACACAGAATCCTGGGAGTTGAAATCCACATAACTTGTGGAATTTAAAAGCAAGCAAGACAGTTTTGGGTTATGCTTTTCAAACATGGCAAATAAAATGATAGTTGAAGGATGTGTCAAAAAATTACATGACAGGCTACTTTTCTAACCATGTAAACCCTCCAGTTTATTAACAAACATTTGTTCTTCCATTTTCTTACAACACTTTTTAAAAGGATGTCATCAATTCTGCCTGTCACTTTTTTGGTCTTCCTTCAATTCCAATGTATTTCTTCAATGTATTCCTAAATAGAATTATTTATAGACAAGATAAGTCAAATGGACATTTTATTTTATTAGCACATAATCAGTGGATTTAAACTCACAGTAAATCTACTAACTTTGTTATGTTTAGCATCTAATTGTTCTTAGATCTCAATCTTAGCACACTGTTGTATCCAGGAATGTCTGACCTATGAGCAACTGACAACATTAATGCAACTTACTGGAAAGTCAAAATCTGTGAGTGATGAACAAGATGCATCAAAAATCAAGGCCCACAGATAATTTAGTATGCAAATTATATTAAATGTTTGAAGAGCTTATCATTTTATTCTAAATATTTCCTTACTCATTTGATGCATGATATTTGAACATTCTTGAACAATAATCTTTTAGAAGAGAATATTTGTAACTCAGAGAAGTACTGTGAGGTTCTGCCACAAATGCTGACAGAGCAAACCATTAGTATATACACAGAGAGTAACCCCACTCCCTTTTAGCACTGATGCAGTTACCTAGTTCGGAAATGAAGTCTGCAAGAAAACAAGCAAGCTTAGAGAGCACCAAGGACCTCGCAATAATATTCTTTGAAAAACAATATTAATTAATGGAACATACTGCTATAGGTCTATGGGGACTGACTTCTGATATACCCTGTACAAGCCTGGATGTACTGAAAAATACAAAAAATAGTTCATTTGTTTATTATCTAAATTTTTTGAATCAGTTTCAGTTATTTTGAAAGTACACAACTTTTTGTCAAAGCAGCATTTATTATTTCAGCAGAAGTGCTGAAATTTTTAATAGACCAATTGAGTTTTGCAGATCCCATGGCCTCTTTACTTGGATATAATTCTAATTTGAGAAACTGATGACCAGCTAAGATAATCAGATGCTACTTTGGGAGCCAGATCAGTAGTGAAATCTGAACCGGTTTACTACCGGTTCGCTGGCTGGCATGCCAGTGCGCACCACATGTGAGGTGCACGGGTGCAGTTCATGCCAAAAGGAAGCATGCGGTAAGTAGAACAGCGTGCAAGGGGGGGGGTGATCAGCTGTGGCGCACAATCTTTTTTTTACTTTTAAAAGACTTGCTTTTAAAAGTAAAAAAAAAAGCCTCTGACGATCGCGCTGCTCAGCTGTGATTGTCAGAGGCTTTTTTTACCTTTTAAAAGCATTTTTTTAAAAGTAAAAAAAAAGCCTCTGATGATTGTGCGGCTCAGCTGGGCATGGGCAGGATTTTTGCTACCAGTTCTCCGAACCACCTGCCACCATCGTTACCGGATCAGGCGATCTGGTCCGAACCGGGAGCATTTTACCCCTGGGGCAGATGGAGAGAAAGGAAGGAGGGGGGTTAGCTGGCTGAGGTCCTCCTTCAGTACAAGACCCGTTCAAAGCAAGAAAACACAACTGTAATCTTAAACCAGCTGGCAAAGTGTTTTGCATAATATACTCTCAGGACTTTTGCTTTTACTTCATCAATAATAGGCCTCATATAGGTAGCTGCAAAAGGTTTTTTTTTTCAACTGATTAGAGGATCCTTTAAGAGACACAAAGTGCTTTGGTTGTTTCTTTTCTTTTTAATGTAAGTCACTATCTCTTTTTTACCCAGTTATAAAAACTCAGGATTCAAAACATTTTGTTAACAAGTTTTAAATTAGTACACACTGTGCTTTGTGTGTGTGTAAAAAATACGATTACCAGGTTAGAAACTTAATGATGTTTGTTTTCAAATCATAAACTTGTGCCTAAGTTTAATTTAGTTTAAAGGAAGCATTACATTTCTATTTTTTTATTTTACAAAGTTTATTTTCATTTTTAAAAATACAATACTTTACATATATACATACAAAGTTATTGCAACTAACATACACAAATACGCGCCTATACCACTAATATAATCCATTTCATTTCCCTCTCTTTTCTCTCACCCAATTATACCATGAATTCCAACATTTGTAATAATCAGAATCTTTTTGGTTCCTAAGTAATTTTGTTAACTGTGCATTCTGTAATTTTCCAAATCAATTTATTTTCTGTGGGTATTAATTCGTTTTTCCATTCTTGCGTGTATAGTATCCTAGCTGCAGTAGTGATGTGGAGGATCAAGTACAATTTTTCCTTAGTTATTTTGTCTGGTTTCATTCCTAATAAAAAAATCTCTGGTTTCAGCTCTATATTATATCCTGTAAGTTCCACCATCCAGCTCCGAACCTTGGACCATTACATTTCTGACCTACCACAAAAATATCAAATATGCTGAGGAAATTAAACGATTATATTCATCTATATAACATTTTGCAGTTCAAATGATAAATTTTAAGACATTAACAGGACATAAAACATATGTAGCAGACACCTGGTGTTAATATAGGGCTGGCTTTGACATAACTATCTCTATTATAATTTGTTTGCCTTTTGATTACAGTAGTATATGAATGCACCTATATTAAGTAAGAATTGTATACAAAATAAGAAGTCATTATGGCTTCTTCAAAAAGTCATGGATAGAGTTATTTCAGAATACAACCATTGTGGTATATTCGGCAAAATCATACGTTAAAAGTATTTGTGAAATAGTAAAAATTTGTTTTTAAATAGTCTTCTACTGTAAAGAATTTCCTATATAAAGAATATTATACACCAGTAATGCAAGAGAATATCCAAGCTATGAGCCCTTCAAACTGAGTGGCCTGACACCATCAGCAGGCTGTTTATTTATTTATTGGTATACATTTAAAATCCACCATTAAGCATGCATCATTATGATTTAGGATTTGCATATAATGTAATTGGTCATTTTAAAAACATACCACACATTAGTTTTTCCTATTACTAAGACTGTGCCAAGACAGGAAGTAGAATTCTTTCACATGCTCATTAGTGGCCTGCCAAGTATGTTTGTTTGTTTCCCACTTTTAGAAATAACTGAAGGTGGCAAACACATATAATATTCCTTCTTCCTATTTTCTCCAAAAGGCGGCTCCGGGTTGGAAACCAGGAGATGGTAAGTTCAAGTCCCATCTTAAAGATGAAAACCGCTGAATGATTTTGGGACAGTCATTTTCTCTCAGTCCAATTGAGAGATTCACAAAATCACCCAGCCAGCTTTCATGTTAAGGTTGGACTAGAACAGGGGTCTGCAACCTTAAATACTCAATGAGCCATTTGGACCCATTTCCCACAGAAAAGAAAATATCGAGAGCCACAAAACCTGGATGGGCGTGGTCAATTCGATGTCACTCACTTCCACCAGTCACATGATGCCCCCTAGCCACGCCTACCCATCTGGTCATTAGGACAGAGAACCAGTTGTTAAAAAACACTGGGAACCACAAAATCCTTTTGACATATCTCTCTCTCCCCTCCCTCCCTTTCTCCACCCCCCTCTCCCGCTCTCTCTGTATCTCTCTGTCTCTGCCCTGGCCACTTCTCCATCCCCTGCCATCACCCTTACTTTCTCAGGCCAGGCGAGGAGTGACTGGGAGGAGAGGGCGAGCGGTGGGGCCAGACAGTGGTGGGATCACCTGAGAGGGAGCCACAGCAGAGGGCCCAAAGATTCGCATGCGGCTCCGGAGCTGCAGGTTGCTGACCCCTGGACTAGAACTTGAGATTTCCTGGTTTCTAGTCTAGTGCCTTAACTACTAGGCCAGATAGGTTCTCACAGTTACCTGTAAAATTACCTAGGCTTGCTCTTTTTCTCTGCCCATAAGATGTTGAATGCATTGAAGTGTTATTGATAAACAGACTGTGACAAGATATAATGGAGTGTGTGAGAGAGAGAGAAGGAGGGGGGAGGGGAGGGAGGACAGGATAGAATAATACCCATATCTAAATATCTGAAGCAGAATAGATTTAGAGAAAGAAAAGATGGGACAGTGTGGAAGAAGTGCGGTGATATTTTTGAGTCAGCAGAAACATTAATTTGTACACAGTGATAATATGCATTCAACAAAGTATCATGTGACCAAAAATAGGACTGCAGTAATTTATTATTATTATTATTAATCAAATTTCTATACCGCCCTACTCCCGAAGGACTCAGGGCGGTGAACAGCCAAGATAAAATACAGATAATACAAATATTTAAAAAATCCCTTAAAATTATTAAATATTTTGGCCAAAACACAGATTAAAACACCCAATTTATAAAATCACACAAATTAAAAAATTTAAAAGAGGAGAGTTAGGCCAGGCCAGCCTGCTGAAATAAAAAAGTTTTGAGAGCACGACGAAACGTGCGCAGGTCCGGGATCCTCCGTATCTCTGGGGGGAGCTCGTTCCAGATGGTAGGTGCCCCCACAGAGAAGGCTCTACCCCTGGGGGCCGCCAGTCGACACTGTTTGGCCGACCGCACCCTGAGAGTGCTGTCTCTCTATGGGAGTGTACTGGTTGGTGAGAGGCTATTGGTAGCAGAAGGTGGCCTCATAAATACCCAGGTCCGATGCCATGGAGCGCTCTAAAGGTGGTAACCAAAACCTTGAAGCGCACCCGGAAGACCACCGGGAGCCAGTGCAGCTCGCGCAGGAG